CGGTGTCAGGCTCTAAGAGCTGTGAGCCTTGGCTCTGGGAGTAGGGAGGGAGTTATCTCTAAAAGGCCACGGGGAGACTCTTTTGGGTGAAGGAAATGTTCTCCTTCTTGATGCTGGTGGTGAATACCAGAGCTGAGTGTGTGTGTCAAAACCTTTAGAACCTTCGAGTCAAAACAGGACATTTTACTGTTTGTAAATTAGAGCCCCTTATAAGAAGTCTTTTTTTTTTTTCCATTAAAATGCTACTCCCTTACCAGGAGTTAATGAATAAATCGAATGTGGCATAGCCTTGTGTTGGGCTTTTATTCGGTGATGGAAGGAATGGAGAACTGATTGGTACTATAGCCGTACTATAACCGTATAGCGTGGCTGTGCCATGAAAACATGATGTTGAGTGAAAGGAGCAGAAGATCACCATCTGCGTGCTTGCGCTTGGAGGAGATGTCCAGAGGAGGCCAAGTCCCGGAGACGGGCAGGGATGAGTGGCTGCTGGGGGCTGGGAAGAGGAGGGCACTGGGAAGCTGCCTGAGGAGTTTGCATGTAAGGCCTTAGAAACAGTTCTGGAGTGGATAGTGACAACTGAATGTACACGATTGTGCATGTCCTTCGCACCCCTTAACTGTGAACTTTGAAGTATTAAATGTTCAGTTGTGTGTGTTTAACGCCAAAGGAGGAAAAACCTGCTTTCTCATCACTTAGTAGGTCTGCTAGGGGCTGGCTCGGGGCTTTTAGTCTGCAGGGAGGCATTTAGTCTGCACCTCTTGGTGCAGTGGAAAGCACATGTTCCAGTGGTTCCACGTGGGCACTTGAGGGCTCCCTCCCATCAGGAGGTACCTGTGGGCATTTCCTGTTGGTGGGTTGCATCTCTCTGCTGCTTCCTGCCTTTGGTTGGTCCCAGCGCTTGGGTCGTGAAGACAGTATGCTCAGCGACTTGGTCCTGAGAGCAGTTGGGAGCTGGTAATGGCATGGGGAGGGTGGATGTCTTTATACAGAAAGGATGGGCTGGATGTTAGGGAGGAAAATCCTGCAAAGGCAGCTGAGTAAATAAAAACTGTGTGCCTGAAGCAGCAGGGGAAGCGTGAAGAGCAGCCTCCTTGGTGACTTGGGAAGATGCTTACGGTTGGGAATGCAGTGAGCAGAAAGCGGGTCAGCCAGGAGATGAGAAAGGCCGAGGGAGGCGCTCAGCCGAGCCTCGCTGCGTCCCTGGCCGTGAATCGCACAGTTGAGCCGTGCAGAGCTGCGTGGGCCTGGCGAGCCCTGAACAACACTCTTATTGACCATTTGTCAGACCCTGAGCAGACAGCTCTGAACTTTAACAGAGTCGGGATGCAGAGCCTGCACAAGGGTCTACAGTTTCCAGCCTGAACAACACGTTTATTTTCTGCTGTCCCTCCACTGGAGGATGAGGAAGAGACCAAAATGAAAAGTGTGGGGGATGGTGCGGGAGGGGGATCTGTGAGGAATGCATTCCAGAGCCCCACATCCACCCCTGGGAGCCCTCAGGGCTGAAAAATGTCACTGGGGTCACTGGGCGCAGAAGGGGACCTTGCCTTTGTCCATTGTTATTTCCAAGAGCCTGAGGGCAGAGCCTGAAAGGGCACAGGGGAATTACTGATGGTCTCCAGTCCACTTTGCCTTGTTGGGCAAAGCCTGACCCTTCCATGTGTCTCTAGACTTGAACTTGACACTGAGACTTTGACAGTGTGGAATCCAGGGAGGGAGCCAGTGCTGCTTGTCATGGGTGTCTGTACGGGGATGGGACCCAGGAGGTCCCTGCAGAGAGGAAAATGACATTCTGAGGTTTTTTTTTTTTTTTTAGATTTATTTATTTGAAAGGCGGAGTTACATACAGTTACATACAAACACACAGATCTTCTGTTCATTGGTTAACTCCCCAAGTGTCTGCAGTGGTTGGTGCTGGGCTGGTCAGGAGTTTCCTCCAAGTCTCCCACATGGTTGCAGCGCCCCAAGGACTTAGGTCATTTTCTGCTGCATCCCAGGCACGTTAACAAGGAGCAGGATCAAAAGTGGAGCAGCCGGAACTCAAACAGGTGCCCATATGAGATACCTGTACTATATAGGTGGAGCTTAATATGCAATATGATGATGCCAGCCCCCATCTTGAGTTCTTTGCTTGCTCTGGTCTTGCATTTCTTCAAACCTGCTGGAGGAGTTGGAAGGCATTAACTACAACCTCAACAGAGAGCACCCAGATATGGTCCTTGCCCGCCATCTGCCTGGGTTGTCAATTCTTAGACAGTAGGGACTGTGGCCACCTGCCTCACCACAGTGACCCCAAACCTACATGTCTGACAGTTCTCTGCATCTCTCTGTCATCAGCATCTTCTGAGGGATCACCAGGCCTCCCATCCATGTGACCCAGGTTCCACTTTCCTCCATTCTGCCTTATGGATCAGGACCCAGACGCTGTGTCACTGGCTTCCTGGGAAGGGCTGCAAACAGTATTGGCAGGAGGCAAGTCCTTTGAACTTGGACATTTGGGGGTTTAAACCCTAGCATGTCCCTGCACACTGCGGATGTATTGTTCAGTGTCAGGAACCTGTTCCCACAGCCCTGCACTTACATGCAGGGTGGTTTTAAGAACTGCAGGTGCAGAGACACAGCTAGCCAATGGGGTGACAACAGTGACTGCAATTAGATCACTTCCTTGGTGGTCTCATCTGTGCTAATGCAAGCATCCAAATGGCTCCCGCCTCCCCCCATTCCCTCTAGCCTGTCCATGCGGCAGGCTTGCATGGCTCTGCCCGCTGCATCACCTAGAGGCCCTGCAGGATGCCACACTAGCTCCTGAGCAAAATGAATAAAACCCTCATATCTGTTCCCCTCTGATTCCGCTGGCATCACAGCTTCTGCCACCTGCATGCATTGGGTCCCCTGATATGCAGTCACCCAAGGTTCTCATGGGTGCCCCACCATCCTTCTCAGCATTTTGTTCCCTTCCTCCTAAACGTTCCCCCTTTCCTGATGGGTTCCAGCGGCCCGCTTCCCAGTTCTTCCCCTTGGGCCTCCCAAGTCTGCTGCTCTTTGCATGGTACCTTTCGGGTCCTTGGGGACACCCAGTAGTTTCCCTCACCCGGTGGGCTCACTGAGCCCCGGTGACAGAGGGAGCCCCGGTGACAGAGGGAGACCCGGCTTGGGTAACCATTGTCCCCTCTGCCCCCTGGAACCAGGCACGTGCCTTCTACCCTTTGGCTTAGTGCAGTTTTGCCCACGTGAAGCATAAACAAGGCTGTTTTCCAGGAATCTGGCAGCTTTGGGGAAGAGCTAAGGATGTGAGGACACTCTCAGTTTTCCTGCTGTTTTGTTGTTGCTGTTAATTCGTTGGTGGCAGCAGAAGGACCGTTTGGGGGCAAGCAGAAGGTCAAAGAGGCTGTAGCACAGACCCCTGCCACCCTGCCTGCAAGGCCCTTTCACTTTCCTTGCCAACCAAGGCCTAGGTCAAGGCTTAGAGTTTGTTTCTCTTACATATCCGGTGTTGTTCCTCGTTTGATTTCTTTAAGTGACCGCTTTTCAGACCTGTTGAGTTCCTGCCACTGACAGGAAACTTGGGAGTAACTGTTATGACCAAACAAAACTCAGGCTGTGGCCTTTCAGCGTGGGGAACCACATCTGACTCTCTCTCTTAAAGGATGCATTTATTGGAAAGCCAGAGAGAGGGAAGAGGGGAAAGAGGTGTTCCATCTGCTGGTTTACTCCCCAGGTATCCTCAGCAGCTAGGTCTGGGCCAGAGCTTCATCTGGAGGCAGGGACCTGAGCACTGGGGCCACCTTCTGCTGCTTTCCCAGGCACATTAGCAGGGGACTGGATCAAAAATGGAACATCCAGGACATGAACTGGTGCCCATATGGAATGGCAGCGTCCCAGGTACCACAGCAGCAATCTCGACTGCTTGAGTCCTGCTGAATATGAGCACGTGCTTGCTGCCTCCATGACAGGTGGAGCTCACGGTGACACAGCCGAAGGGCCAGTCCTCCTAATTCTGCTGTCATCGCTCTCACTCTGTTCTCTTTTTTAGTTCAGTTACCTCACCCATGTGTTCCAAAACCCTGTGCTCAGCATCTGTAGCCCCTCATCTGGGGACAGGAATCACACACGTGGTAGGACTTCTTCCTCTGCCCCGCCACCCCTCCAGTTATTCGTCGACTTGCCCTGTATGGTGGGCTGACCGGCAATGCCTGGGACACTGGGAGAAGGTTGAGCCAAGGGGCCCAAATGTCCAGCAAAACATCTGTCTCTCTGGCCACCGATCAAGGGCAGCATGTATGGACAAGGAGCAGTCAGAAGGAAACAGGAGTCATCGAGGACTCAGGAGGGTGGGCAGGCTAGGGGGGGACAACAGAGTCCTCGTGGTGGACTGGAAGAGCCACTTTGTGTAGGGAGGAGTGGTTTATGTTCCTCAACTTTTCCAGCTCCTAGATGCCATCTGCAAATTTCTTGGCTCCTGACTCCCTCTTCCACGCACAATGTCAACCTTGTAGCATCTCCTATTCTGATTCTAGCTCACCCTCTGGTTCTCCCTCTGCTAGGGCACTTTACACTGTGCTCCTGGGCTCATCCAGAACAATCCGTTATCATATAATCCCATCTGTTTGCCATGACGAGAGCATTTTAACCTGTTTGGGGAATTAGGGTGCACACTTGGTTCAGGGGGCCCTATTTAGTCTACCCGAGGGACCATGCTGGGCATATGGGATTATCTGTGAGAGGAGGCCTGGCTGGTTCAGTGGCATAGACCGAGGCCTGAGGGGCACACAGCTAGGCCTTGGTGTGTGAAGCGAGGTGATGCAGGTTGGAGATGGCCTGTTCCTGCCTGCGCCCCGGCACTGGGGAGGCTGCCTTGGGACCGTAGACAAGAGCCGTTGCTCTTGGGAGCAGAGAATCTGTGGTGGGATGCTGCCGGGTGTGGAAGTGGAACTGGGCTGGGCCCCTGGGAGGGAAGACAGACGCTGTAAAAGCTTCTGGTTTCTGTCTGTAGCCCTGGAGCAGCTGCTGACGGAGCTGGATGACTTCCTGAAGATCCTGGACCAGGAAAACTTGAGCAGCACAGCCCTGGTGAGGAAGAGCTGTGTGGCCGACCTCCTGCGCCTGTACACCAAGAGCAGCAGTAAGTGACCCCCACTCACCCCCAAGACATGGGCAGGTGCTGTGGCCATCACCTCTCAGGCTCATGTCCCTGAGTGCCACCAGGTGGTGGCAATGGCTTTCCTGCACTTGTGAAAGTGGAAGTGGTGGATGGAGGAGTTGGCAGAGCCGGTCCCCCTGAGGCTTCCCTCCTTGGCTTGCCCTGGGTCCCCATGGGGTCCTCCCCTGTGTGCCTGCCTGTGTTCTTACCTCCTCTTCTCTTCTGATTCCTCTCCCAATAAGAGTCATGTTCTGCGTCTGGGGCAGGAGAGAGCTGGGACTTGACATAGCCTGGGAGGGAGGTTTGTAATCAAGTGTTGTGACAGCTGTCACAGTGATTGGGAAAGGAAGCTATTGCTGTTACTATGACCCGGGTGGCCTGTGTGTCCACATGCTGGCTTGTTTCACTTCATTGTGTGCTCAGGAGCTTGGTGCTGTGGGTCCAGAGGAGGAAACGGAGGTCCAAGGTTATCTAGCCAAGGGATAGGAAAGCATAAAGCATCCAATGCAATTGCAAATCACAGAAGCCCGAGTTTTTCTCTTCTTTATGGTGGCACAATCAACATAAAGTGCATGGATGTTGAAGACTCAATTCAGTGAGTTTGCTAATAGTCTACATGCATGTCTGCATTCCTGAAACAGAGTGTGTCTGGCTTCCAGAAAGTTCTATCTTGCCCCTTCCCACTGCATTCCCTTCTCGTGCCTGTTCTGATTCTTCTTGCCATAGACTTCCTGTCATGGAGCATTGTGGGTGGGGAGTCAGGCCTACAGTGTGCACCCCAAGTCTAGCTCCTTTGCCTAGGGGCTTGGTGTGTGCTGCTGGGCCAGCCTGTCAGCAGCTTGTTCTGATGGCTGGGGCTCACTGCATCCTCTGAGTTTGCCACCATCTGTTTATCCATTCCCTTTGCTTGGTGTATATGGGGAGTTCATGGGTTTGGGCCAAGTTGAATGAGTCCTCTTGTTTGAGTCTTCTGTGGAACATAGAATTTCCAGGAAATTCAGGTTTTCAAAAAAGGGAAAATCTTCTTGTATCCTAATAGCTGAGTTTGACCTTCATGCCCAGTCTCTGAGAACTGGAAGTGCTGTTCGGGTAGCAAAAGGTACCATGGGAAGGCATCTGATTCCCCTGCCCCGCTGTGGGGCAGCCAGGTATGTGCCAAGGCAAGGAAGTCTCCACCTGCTGCAGCCATTGCAATCCAGAACAGTCATTGCTCATGCCAGCCTGAGTGGGCCAGGCCTCAGTCCCAGGCCTCTGCCCCACTGTGCTCCTGGTAGGGGGAGGGTCTGCTCTCGGGGTTACAGGTCGCAGAGCTGCAGGTGGCTGCTGTGGGCCCCATGACCTTGTCTTCTAGAGGAGTTACCCTGGCTCCCATCAGAGCCCCTCTTGCCCAGCCACAGGCTCTCCAGGCCACGCCTGCAGTTCCCAGGCTCCTGGCTTTGCAGGGAGCGTCTGCCGGCAGCACATCAAAGCGGTCTTCGGTGGGAACCGGGGCAGAGGGGAAATCCACATGACAGAGGGGAGGAGGGCCAGCATGGGGGTGACTCACTGCAAAGAAGGAGTCATCCATGGAAGCCTTTGAAAAGCACGCTCCTCCAGCCTTTGAGATGGGCTCCGACTTGCGAGCCTGCAATTACAGACAACACCTCCGATGGGAATCGGAGACACCTCTCAGTGACAGGTCTGGCCCGTGGTTTTTGGTGCTCACCAGGCAGGGAGCGCCTCTGCCCCGAGTCCCCTTTAGGGTTGAGCATGCCCAGGAGCTTCCTGCCCTCCATCTGCCCTTGCCAAGTCAGCCCCTCGGCAGCTTGCTAGTGGTGGGGGATAGTGAGAAATGATCAGCACTGCCCTAGGGACACGTCCAGACTGACCCCAGGGCCCTGCATCCTTCCCACTGCATCCGACAGCCAAATGCTCAGGAGTGATGCTGACCTTGAGTGGCCACTGTCTGACACGCAGCCTCCTTGTCCCTGCTCTTTCCACCCCTGAGAATAGCAGCTCATATTGACCCTGTGCTGACCATGTCCTAGTTCGTAATCATGATTTCAGGGACATAGGTTATAGAAGTTCCTCCTCTTCCCCAGGCTTGGAGGGAGTCGGTGGTTTCCCCACCTCCCAGACTTACCAACCAAGGAGCCAAGGCTTGGAGAGTCGCTTGCCCAAGGGCACACAGGCCTGGGCCAGGGCAGGTGGACCCATCTCCTTTCCTCCGCACACTGCTCTACTCTACCAGGTTATTAGTTGTCTTGGGCACAGCCTGCACCCCTGCATTCATCTTCCCCCTCGGCCTCCTTGGCCTGACGCGCTGGGTATTGGCCACAAATGTGTGGGCCTGATGGGACTTGCAGGCTGTGGTCCCCATCTCCTGAGCTGTGGCTCACACACTTGCTGGGACAGAGTGTGAATGAGTGGGTGGGGCGGACGTGGGCTGTGCATTTGTACTTTATTCAGCAGAGGCGACCACTTGGGTTTTCTGATCTGTTGCTTTCTGAGAATAACATGACGTTTTTCCCCTTTTGCTTTTGGCCTGGCTGAGCTGCAGGCCACAGCCAACCTGGTCAGAGCTCTGAGTGAGGAGTGTTTATCGGGGCAGGGCTGCCTGTGATCTGGTCACACCTTCTCCAGCGAGGGCATGTTCCCTGCCTCTCCCCTGCTGTGGGAGCCCGAGGACATTTCAATGGTTGCCTATCTAATGGGAAACATTTCACATCTTCTCTCTCTGCAGCTCTAGCAGGGATACCTTCTTCCCCACCTTCACCCCCGTCCTCTGGGAGAGACTGCTTCCTGCTGAGAGGGGGTGTCCCTAAGGATGCTGCATTACTGCCCGTTACTGCCCACTTACCTGTTTAGGTAGCTGCTTAGAGCCCACCACCCCCACCAACGCCACTGGACACAGTGCTGGTGCTTGATGCAGTTCTGAAAGACAAGGCATGAGGAATAGAAAGCTCTGGAGCCAGGCTGCTGACTCAGCAGCCTCCTGCACCTAGGTCAAGTTTCCGGTGCTTTTGCCACGGTTGCAGAAGGTGTTGGGAGCCTCTTCTAAGCAGACTGAGTAGTCCTTGGAGAGCAGCCGGCTGTGAATCCAGAGCCAGGTTGGCTGTGGCCTGCAGGGAGACGAGGCAGGCGGATGTAGTCCTGTGAGGTGGCCAGCATGAGTTTTCTCTGTAATGTAGTGATCGCTGTGTAATTTAGCCATCACTGTTTCAGGGGAGAAAATGCCTCCTCTGACTCTCTTTCTGCCTCTGATTGTTTTGTGCAAAGGTGTGAGCAGAAGGCACACTGACCACTGTGTCCCTCTGGTTCCTTTTCAGATCCTTATCAGTGCCGCCCTAATGGTTGGCTTCTGTGTTTGTGCTTCATAGTATTTTGACATTCAGAATTGCTGTGTGCCGGGGTGAGCCTTTGGCATGGTGGCTTCTCCCCACAGCAGGATGCTTGGCTCCTCTGCTGCTAATCCAGCTTCCAGCTAGTGCGCATCCTGGGAGGTACCAGGTCACGGATAAAGTCACGTGTCCCTTCTTCCATGCGGGACCCCGACGGAGTTCTAGGCTCTTGGCCTTGGCACGACTAAACCCTGCATGATGTCTTCTCTCTCTCTCTCTCTCTCTGCCTTAAAAATAAAATGAAAATAAGAATTTCTATGTGCATACATTTCCACTTGTTGACAGCTAGCACTTCTCTCTCCTTTTCTGTTCTGAATTTTGATCTTTTAATTCAATTCCAAGTCTGAGCTCTCTGGTTGAACAACTTCTATATTTTTCACAGTTGGGTGGTGCCCACTAATAATGGATGAAAACTCATGTTTAATTGCTTCCATGTTTGGTGTGTACCTCAATTGCATTCTTAAAAGAAAAACCCATACACTATTGCAATAAACATCCTCAAATAAAATCTCCTTTCTGTGCTGGGATTATCTGCAGGATATGTTTCTGGCTGTGGAAGTACTGGGACAAAAATTGTGAACATAAAATTCACAAATTCAAAATAAAAAATTAACCAAAAAAATGTGTTCCTATCTTCCAGAATCATCTCCCAAATGGCTGCGCCAACTTTTAACATACGTATTGATAGCCTGTTTATTTCTTTAAAATTTACTTCTTTATTTCAGAGACAGGAGTGTAAAAACTCCCCCATGTAATACTTTTTCCCCACATGCCTGTAACACCTGGTACCAGGCCAGGCTAGCTAGCAGCCAGAAACCCAATTCAAGTCCCCCATAGGGATGGCAGGGACCCAAATGCTACAGCCATCACCCGCTATCCTGCAAGGTGTGTGATGGCAGGGAGTCAACCACTAGGCCGTCTGTCCACCCCAAGTCTGTTCCTTATACTGTGATATCCGGTCATGTGTACACGTGGCTATTCCTTATAAGGTGACGTCTGTTCATGTGTTTATGTGGACTGTGGTTGATTTGAACAGTTTCCTGCCCTTGAAGGCTTTGGGTGACTTCTTGTGTTCTGGACTCATTTGTCACCCGTAAGGGTATCTTACTGTTTCATAAATTTGAGTTTAGTATTTTTGAAACCTTCAAAAGAAATGGAAACAGGTCGTGGGGTTTCATCGTGGTTGTTTACTGTGCAGATAAGAACACCGAGGAGCAAGGGTTAGGTGTTCAGATTTAGGTCGTTAATAACAGAACACTTTATCCTGAGCCAGCCCTGGGGGGAGGGACTGCCTAGCTCCCTCTGATGCGGAGGGGGGGACCAGTGTGCAGGTTGGCACATTTGCCCCTCCTTGTCCTCTCTGTCAACCGAGGCAGTCCTGGGTCTAGGGGTGACATTTCTGTGTTGATAGTCCCACGGTCTGGGGACCCACGCAGCCACCCCCGCCCCTGCTGGTTCCCAGCCCGCTGGTCTGTTTGCTGGAGTCTGGCAGCTTTTGGTTCCAGAACAGACACACTGAGCTGCTTCCTTCACCAGGACTTGAATGGAGTCCCTTGGCTCAGGGCCACTGTCTCCAGCCACTGGAATTTACCAGCCACAAGTTTCCAGGAAATGTAAATGAAGGGCCAAAAGCGAAGTGCAGGGGATATTTGAAGAGAAGGACCTCTGGATGAGCTTGCTTTGGAAGGCAGCTACAGAAGGCTCCTTGGGGAATTGGGAAGCGCATGAGGGCTGGGAGCTCAGCTTCCCTCTGCCCACACAGGCTCTGTAGAGGGGACCTCATGCACCCAGGAGTGGTCTTGTCGGAGGGGATGGATCATGTCATTGCAGGATGTAATCTCCGGGATAGAGCAGGTGGCTGCTGGCTTCCCCGATCTGGGTCCCACCATACTCCCCTTAGCACACTCTAAGCTCTGTTGGTTTGGTTGTTTTGTCACCGCCCTCTGCTCTCCCAACATCCCCAATGTCACTCTGTCTAGGGGCTTGGGAGTAGAACTTTCTGGTCTCAGTGTGACTTTCTTATCTAGACATTACTCTGATCAGCCCATTCAAGTAATTCAGACTAGGATGAGAATGACAGAATGATGTTACAACCGAAATGGAAGGCCCCGACCCCCAGGAACACCTCCTCTTGGTGGGAATGAGAAGTAGCTCTTTAAGCAAGGGGTACCTCTTGCTTACCCCAGAGGCTCCTTGTCTGCACCCTAGCTTTCTGCACTCTCCTGTTTCCACCCAAACCTGGGAAATGAGTCACCAACTCATTCTTGTTTTGGAAAATCTGTCAGCTCTGGGAGCCCACTCAGGATGCTGTCTTTCCAGCAGAAACCACGCAGGTGACAACATCTGGAACCAGATGCAGTTTCTCTGACAACTCTTTCCTTCCACAAAGTCATCTGTGTCCCATCCTCCTCCCGCAGGTTCTGATGAGGAATACATTTACATGAACAAAGTGACCGTCCACAAGCCACAGAATGCTGACTCGCAAGACCAAGGTATGGGCTGGGTGGCTCTCAGGATGGTGAAGGTACCAGGTTGGCCTCCTCTGCCCTCCCAGCCAGCACGTGACAGACCCCATGGAGTTATTTTGGAAAGCCACATTTGAATTGTGTGGTATTTTGGGCTGAGGTATTTTGGTATATTTCAGCAAGCCACCACCCCCTGGCCCATTGGATAAGAAATCTGTCCCTAAAATCTGAGCTTTTCCCAGCATCATGCCAGATGCAGGAAGTCATAATTTACATGTTCTAGGAAAGCAGCTGTGTATGCTGCTGCTGATCTCAGTTTCAGCTTTCGTCTTTTGACTGCAGACTAGGCTGGGAGGAGAGGGGATGTGGTTGTGCTGGGAACCGCGGTGATGTCCGAAGATGATGCTCAAAGGTGGCCACTGGGCTCAGCATCCTCCTGTCCAATGCAAGGGTGATGTCACCTTTCATGGTGCCTCAGTCTTCTCTCCTACACCTCCGGAATGGGTCCGGAAGGGCTTGGGAGGCCCAGAGGTTTCCATAGCTGTCTCATTGTGGAGGAGGGCGTAGAAGTAGCTCCAATTCCTAACTCCTACCTGTGAGGTTGAATGTAGAGGCCTGGAGGGAGGTGGGATCACAGGCCCCCATGCTCGGTCCTGGTAAGGGCTTGCCTTAGAGACTTCAGCCACAACAACCAGCCCCGCCTGGGATGCTTATACTGGAGCCATCCGGGCTGGCTGAATTGGTTAGCTCCAAAGAGCCCTGGGTGCCTTGCATAAGTGTGCAGGGATTGGGTGTCCTAACAGCCCCTGTGTAGCTTCGCTGCCTCCTACCCCACATCAAGCCCACAACTCGGAAGAATTCCTCCAGACGAGAATGGCCTCCTGTCATGGCTGTGGCCTCCTGTAAGAAGAAAAAGCTATAATTACAGGGTCAGAGCTGAGAGTGGCTCGATATAGATCCTCTGTGGCCTAGAGCTCTGTGGCCAGACTGTTTTGGATGTGGGCTGTTGAGGGGAAGAGGGGCAGGCCTACCAGAAACCCCAAGCCAGTCCCATCCAAGGACTCTGCCTGTGGCTAGGATGCTACTGCATCCTATTCTTGGAGAAAAACAACTTTGGCTCCAGGAACAGCCTGCCACAGTAATTAACACCTGCTCACATAGAACCTTCTGGAATATGTGGCCAGACATTCCTGGGTAATGATCCTACCTTGTCACGAGGCTGGACAGCTCTCGCTGAAGTGCTCTGTTATTGCCCACAGCACCCCTGGAGCAGGACCCACTGACCAATGGGGAGCCCAGCCAGCATGCGTCGGCCCCGCAGAAGACCCTTCCAGACCTCCCACCACCCAAGATTGTGAGTGTTGGTCCGGGGTCCTGATGATGTTCTGTAACTTTCCGGGTTGTTCTACTGGGTACCTGCCAGTTCATGGGGCAACTGATGTTTTCTGAGCACCTGCTGAGTGTGGGACAGCAAAGGAAGTCTGCTTGCATGTGACTTGTTGTTTGCTCAGGGCAGCTACCATCCAGATGCCGAGGAGGCGGAGCACAGGGAGTCACCTGAGCGGGAGCCATATATAGCTGTGGTTACTGGCTCTGGCTGCTGTGACCATTCAAAATTGTAACTCAAAACACTGCATTTCCTGGTTGAAACCCACCAGTGATTCTTGTAGGAAAAAAATATATGTATGTATTCACCCAGCTCTAGGCCTTGCACAGCTGCATGTCCAGCCTCGATACCTAGGCAGTTCACTGGCTTTCCCATTGCTTCCAGTTGTACTGCTGTGGGTGCTCCTGCATCAGGGACTTGGCACTTCCTTGGGCCCCTGGCTCTTTGGTGCCTGCTGTGTCCTCATCTCTCAGAGTTTCTCAACAGATTGTCACCTGCCTGTCATTCAGTGTCATACCATTCTGGTCTCTGCCTCTGGTATTATCTGCCCAGTTACTCCTCCATGGCAGTCACCACTGTGGGAACAGTCTTGGCTACTATTTGTCTCCTCCAACAGATGTAAGCTGCTCAGAAAAGGGACAATGTCTTGTGGTTTCTTAGTGTTCAGTGTCTGCACACAGTAGGCCATTTGCAAATAGTTTGGATGGATGGCTGGATTGGTGGTTAGTCGGTTGCGTTGTTGGATGACTGGTTGTATTGATGGATGGGTTGGCTGGTTAAACGGATGGATGATGGTTGGATGGATGGATTATTGGGTGGGTGGGTGGATGGTTGGTTGGTTAAATACATCAGTGATTGATCAGTGTGTGGTAGGTGATAGGAAAATTAATTATCCCTACTATAGGTATATTAACTGTATCTGTTGAGTCTTTCAGACCTGGTTCTGGTCCCAGCCTTGCCACATACTAGCTCTCTGACTTGAGGAAATTGCTCTAGGTCTCTAGTGCTTTGTTTCCTATAGTATTTGGGGGGGGGGACCATTCATTCCTGCCTTGAGCAATGGTCTGTGCCATGGGCTAGCACTGCACAACACACCATGCTAGGATTCCACCAAGAAGGAGTGCATCTACATTATGGCTGAGGAAGCTGATAGCATGTAGCCTCTGAGTGACAAGTGACAGAGTCAGTATTTTGTCCAGGTTCTTTCCTCCCCTGGGGCATATTGAGGGTTTCCTGGAGAACTTATGGGTCCCTAGGTGGGAGGAATTAAATCAGTAGCAGGGGGCTTGGGGTCAGAAGGAAGCTGACTCTGTGGTCACTAAGTCCCTACCCAGTGACCTGTCTCCTGTTCTGTGGGTTTGTCTCCACTTAAAGGCTGTTGACCCTCCACAGCATGGAATGACTGGGCAGTCCTGGTATGCTAAGGACCGGGTCCTGTTGCATGAGGCCCCTTGAGCTGGGGGGCAGCTAACAGGAGACTCTTCATCTCAGGCCATGTGAGACTTGATGAATGGACTAATCCCAAATCCCTAGCTGTTCCTGTGATGCCAATCCTGCAAGTAACCATGCCCACCTCTAACCTCCAACCCCTGCCTGTGAACACAAACAGCATCCTCCTGCCGTCCTTCAAGGGATGGGTATTTTGTCGCTATTTTCATACAAAGAAACAGCCTCCTAGATTGAGCATTGCTGAATCGGGTCCCACGGCTGGGAGGTGTAAAGACAGGGCCTGATTGCACCTGATTGCAGGTGTGTTGGGTTCCAGGCGCCCTACCAGCTGCTTGGCTTGTGAGCATTTCTGTGGCCCAGTAAGGGTGCATGTTATGCTCCTTACCTCTGCAGGCTCCTGCTGGGTTCTCCTGTCCCACTGCTGGGGGCTAAAGACTTGCTGACTTGGCCCAGAGTTTTGCTGTCTGGGTGTTAGACCTGGAAAGGTGGCTGTTGGGAGCCGAGGGTGGCGAGGATGGGGTCTTTGCTGTTCTTGATCCAACATCTGCTTGCTTGGCTTTCGCCAGGTGGAAGTGCCATGCCTGCTCCATTGGGGCAGAAGGGCAGTTGTTGATGGTCAGCACCCAGTGAACACAAGTGTTTGCTAGGAGGCATATGTGTGTTCTGCAAATCTGTGTTTCGCACACAGTGGACTGAGAGGTCCAGGACCTGGCATGGCTTAGGTTCCCAGCTCGTAAGGTCGTGGTAAGCCACAGCAGTCTCTGGGCTTCTGGCTTTCCCTGCATCTTTGCCTGGTTCTGTGTCATTAGCACCAACACACTAGGGGCTTCCTAGTCCATGCTTCCTGTGTACTACCTGGGGTGGAAGAGACCTGTGTCCTGATGCTGCAATTGGGGGAAGTTTCACCTCCTGGGAATAGCATGAGCCCAGATTGGCCTGTGAGAGGTGTGGTTGCTGCTCTCACACACAGAAAATCTAACCCTTCCCTGTGACCCCAGGTTTGGGTGCCAAGGGTTGCTCATCCACCCGAATGCTGCTCTCCCCTGACCCAGCCAGCGCTGCTGGCCCTGGGCTCCCTGGTGACCAAAGCAGATGTGGATGCTGGCCTCTGGTCCCTTGCGCCTCTGACTGGCCAGGGGTGTGGCCTCTTCCACGGCCCACAGCGCTTGCTGGCCAGTGCTGGGTCTCTAAAGGGTGGTTGGGGTCCTCCATGCAGCATCTGCAGACTCAGTGGAAAATTGTAGCCCCAGAAAAGGCAGCCTGGGGTCTGGAGCACACCCATGCAGTATGCGGTGACTCAGGCAGCTGTGGCCTTCCCAGGCTGCCATCTGCACAGCCAGGTGCTGTGGACCCTGCAGGAAAATCAGATGTGTGCAGGCCGCTGTTGCTGCCGCCAGCTAGCTCAGCCTGAACGTGTCTTGGTGCTGATCCTAAGTGATCTGCTCTGTGGAAGAAGCAGCGTCCTCCAGAAAGGACATTGCCATGATCAGTAGGGCTGAGCTCTCCCTCACCCCCATCTGGAATCCTTCTACAGTGCACAGTACCCTAGTACACTTTAACGAAAGAGTGCCTTTTGTGTCTAATCCACGTCAGGGCTTGATGACCAAAATCAGGCCCACTGCCTGCTGTTCCAATAAAGTTTTCATTGCAACACAGCTAGCTGTTTAGTATACATTGTCTGGGACACTCTCGTGGGCAGCAGCAGATTAGGGGGCTGGAAGAAGAGGTCCAAAAAGGCTTACAAATCCTTAAAACATAGTGTGATCTTTAAAAAAAAAATCCTGACATTTAAAAAAAAACCCACAAAATTCCTTTTCCTTGTGGTTCCCCCATTTCCTTGAACAGTCAGAAAGTTGCTAAAATTTGGGCAACAAGGCTTTTCTGCTATACCATCATTTCATATTCATAATGACAAACTTTTTTTTCAGATTTAAAAATTTTTATTGGAAAGACACATTTTGCAGAGAAAAGCAGAGACAGAGACCATCTGCTGGTTCACTCCCCAGGTGGCTGTAATGACAGGACTGAGCTGACCTGAAGCCAGGAGCCAGGAGCTTCTCTTGATCTTTGACAAGGGTATGGGGTCCAAGGACATGAGCCGGCCTCTGCTGCTTTGCCAGGGCATAAGCAGGGAACTGGATCAGAAGTGGAACAGCTGGGATTCAAACCAGCACCCATATAGGATGCCGACACCAAAAGACAGAGGCTTTTTACTATACCATAATGCCAGCCCCAGTGATAATTCAAAACAGCCCATGGGGCTGGTATTGTGGCTCAGCAGGTATTGCTGCATAGTATGCCAGCACCACAGAAGGGCACCAGTTTGTGTCCCGGCTCTTCCTCTTCTCATCCAGCTCCTTATTAATGCCCTGGGAAGGGCAGTGGAAGATGGCCCAAGTGCTTGTGGTACCTGCACCCACATGGGGAACCTGGAGGAAGTCCCTGGCTTTTGCTTGGCCCAGCCCTGGCCATCGTGGCCATGTGGGGAGTGAACCAGCAAGCAGATGGCAGTGCTCTTTCTCTGACTCTTCTCTCTTCTGTGACTCTGCATTCCAAATAAAAGATGTTTTTTCCTTTTATAAAAAGCAGCTAGCTTTCTCTAGAGCCTGGAAGTTAGGGTCTCCCTCCTTCTGCCTCTGCTGAGAGGTGCTGTGTCTGGAATGTTGGAATTCTCCTCTGCATGGCTATGTACATTACTGTACCTAGTATATATCTTTGCCCAGCAGCCTTGAGCACTGGGAAATACAGATTTCTCCTCTGTAGCCCAGAGTGCATTGGTTCATCCTCTACTAAACAATGTTTTTACATTTTAGGTTAGTAAAAATGGCTGTTTAGTGTTAATAATTGCTTTAACTAGTCATGTGATTTACTTGAAAGGCAGAGTTAGAAGAGAGAGAAACAAAGATCTTCACCCGTCCACTCTTCAAGTAGCTAGAATGGCCAGGGCTGGGCCAGGCCGAAGTCAAGAGCTTAGAGCTTCATGCAGGTCTCCCATGTGGCTGCAGGGGCCCAAGGACTTGGGTCATCCTCTGCTGCTTTCCTGGGTGCATTCTCATGGAGCTGTCCTCTCCCTGTGAGGAGGCCAGTCCCAGCTGGACAGCTCTAGGAACTGGGGATCTGGCTGCAGACCAGGGTCCACAGACTGAGCAGGAGACAGACAAGGAAACCATCCATGGCACCTGCCCATGGTCACTCCCCCACCCCACCCCAGGGCTGAGATCCTATCCTAAAGAGAGCACTGGGCAGGGCTTCCTGGAATCTTCCAAGCCTAGAGTCACACAGCTGAGGCGTGTGCGTTGAGCATCTCACCTGGGCCTGGCGCTCAGGTCCCCCCACCATGCTGGGCCGTCCACTACACTGTGCCGCTTACAGGGCAAGGCAGGAAGAGGGTTGGAAGATTCCAGGAAGCCCTGCTCAGGCCTCCTCACAGGGAGAGGACCCTGCTCTGCCTGATGGGAATGGGGCTCCCCAGAAGTGGGGCCAGCTCAGTGCAGGCACCCCGACCCCAAACCCCAGGGTGCTGGCTCTCAGGGCGACCTCTGCTGGATCCCAGAGCCAGCACTGCCACAGGCTGCAAGCTGCCCAGCGCTTTGGCGGAAACATCTGCCAGGCTAATGACAGTGGCTGTGGCTCATGCAAGGCCCTGTGTCTGTCTTCTTGCCCATCAACCTTCAGCAACTGCTTCTGCCCAGCCCATTGCGGTGCTCTGTCTGCTTAGGAAGCGACAGGATGATATTGGTGCCTGTTTGTGTCACCTGTTTGTTACTGGCTCCAGGGTGCTCATAACGTGTCCCTGTGACTCACACCCAAGCTGGTGCTAGGAGGCCACGTCAAGCAAGGAGGTCTCTGGTTGAGCCCAGGTTGAGGTCTGGCCTCTGCCAGCACTCTTCAGGGAGGTTTCTAGCTTGCATGACAGCAGCCTGGGACTTCAGCTCCTGTTACCTTGGGCGCTCTCACTGTCCCACCTGCAGACCCCTGTGTCATGGCAGTTTCCTGACAGTAATGCTGATGAGTGCTCTTGGGATTGACCCTGAGGGAACACAGTCATGTCTTATCGGACTGAGTCCTCAAAGCAGCCACTCATTGTAGGGAGATGAGAAGCAAGGTTCAGAAAGGCTGTCATATACCCCAAGTTAAATCTAAGCCCTGAAGCCATGTGCAGGTCAAATGCATTGAAGCAATTCAAATAGATTTCTGGCCACACAGGACTCAGCTCTGGGGCCCTGGTGGCCTTCCGTGTGGACAAGCTGCATATCGCCTTACGGGGCCTGAGCCAAGCTGATGGTATGCTCATCTTGCCCTGGGCCAGCTCCCTGTGTAAGCCCATTTCCCAAGGCAGGGGTTTTCTGACTTCCTAGACTTACCTTCACCTGATGGAAAAGTCAGGCAGGGACCCCCGAGATATACAGTAGGTACAGTAACGTACATAGCCACGCAGAGGAGAATTCTAACATTCCAGACTCAAGCCCCATAGGGCTTCTTGTATACTATCCGAGGCGTAGGGAATGGTGTCTGGGTGGGGCTTCATTGAATATTCAAGAGTGGGCGGAGTGTGGAGCAGGACTTACATACCACCCTTTTCTGTGCATGTTTCAGAAATCTCAGCAGTGTCATGGCATTAGGTACTTGATTTGAGTGGAAGTGCCAGCTGTGGTGTTGCTCTGTGTGCCATTGATCATTCACCATATTTCTAAGGAAGTATGTTCTGTTGAAATGGCATGACAGCCACCACTGCAGCCTGACATCAGCTGGACCCTAAGGCACATTATCTGTCATGTGCATAGTAATAGTGTAAATGTTTGTGTGTGTGTGTGTTTCACAGGCACTGAAGCTTGTTTTGATAAGGACAAACAACCTGCAGCTGGCATGCACCACCATGGCCTGGGTGGCCGATGTGGGCACAGTCTGCTATGCGCTCCCTTCTGGTTGGGCATTTTCTCTCTGGGCTTCCACCTCCTCTCACCCAAAGGGTTAACTCCACGTTGTTCCCAGGGCATCGTATGTTAACATGTCTGTTCTGTCCTTTCATGCCACAGATTCCAGAAAGGAAGCAGCTCACTGTCCCGAAGATTGAGTCCCCGGAGGGCTACTATGAAGAGGCAGAGCCATACGACACATCCCTCAATGGTGCGTCCCCGCAGCTGGGGCTGGGAGTGGAGGTGGGGGAGTCACTGACTGCTTCCTGGAGGATGACAGCTGACAGCCCTGACACATCTGGCCAGGACCAGCGTGCTCACCCTGGAGTGCAAGGCGCTAGGTCTGAGCTGCCATTGCCACAGAGCATGGCCCGAGTGGAGCACTGGCCACAGGACCTTTGTCCTTTGGTCTGCATAAGGAACTGACGGCAGAGCTGAGAACAGGTTCACAGTGTCAGACATTCTCTGTGTGTCTGCCTGGATGTTGCTTGGTTGAGTGTGAGGACAGGTGAAGGAGGTGTAGGCCCCAGGGCATGCGAGCATGGTAAGAGGTGGAAGTGATGGTTGGGCTGAGCTGGGGGGCCATGCTCCTTCAGTGGACTCAGGGTCATCCAGCTCCATCCTGTGTCAGGCTGTGAGTGCACACATCCCAGCATTCAGGCCCAGTGATGGGAGACAGACCCAAGTCAAGCCGGAATGCCTCAGGTGGCAATGAGTGTCAGGGTGGAAAAGAGAACAGGGCCTGGACTGCAGCAGGAGGCCGACAGTTGCGTTAGCTAGGGCAAGGCCTCTGGGGTGGTGAGGTCTTGAATGGATTCCTGAAGGTGGTAGAAGAAGATCTGCAGGAAGAACCTTCTAGAAAGAGAACTAGATATGCATAGGCCCTGAGGCATGAGAGCCCTTGGCCTATTTGGGGAACAAGGAGGCTCACCAGGGCAGCTGAGGAGAGGTGACAGGAAAGGGGCACATACAAGGGCTACTGGTTACAATGAAGAGTGAATGGCATGGAGGGATCCTTAAGGACTGGCCATGGGCAGGGACACCACGTGACTGGCCTGACACCACGTGATCAGGGCCCATGCTATTGTGGTCTGTGCTTGGCCTGTGGTTCCCAGCCTGAGAAAGGATCCAAAGTGTCATCAATGTGGGGGTTCTTTTACACAGAAAGACCCCAAAAGTTCTGGAAGGTTCTGGCAATACATCTGTAGAATCCATGACAGCTGCATCCTGACCTTCTTGCTGTCCTTAATGAATAAAAGGGCTTTGCCAGCACAAAGCAATTTGCCAACATAAGGGTTTGGGTCTTTGGTGAAGAAAATGACCGTGGCCCCAGGGAATATTGATGGTTGCATAAAGAACAGGATGAGGGATGAGATGCCACCACTGGCTTGGAGCACTCTGGCTTCTTCTCCTGTAGCACTTGCTACCTGCCACCATGCTACCTGCATAGGAGGAAAGAGCCTGCCCCATGAAAGTTACTCCAAGGGGCTGGCCCTGGGAGCACACGTCACTGAGCTGTAAGCCAAATGAGAGCGGCCGGCGTGGCTGGGCCTTCACTTCAGACGAAAGCCGAGGGTGTGGCGCAGTTATCCAGGCGCGTCTTAGAAGTGGAAACAGTGACTCAGCGGTGAGCACCTCAGCACGTCTGGGGTCTGTCCTGGGGTGTGGCTCCACGCTCGCTGGGACCTGCCTCCCAGACACACCCACAGGTCTGTGGTGCAGACACAGCTTCTCAGCTTCTTGACACAAGCAAGTGGTCAGGGAGACCCAGGCTTCTTGGGCTAAGGGTCGCTGCCAGGACAGCTGAAACCTGCCATGGACTGCGAGGCCAGGAAGTTTGTGAACAAGGAAATCTAAAGCATGTGGCAGGGGTGCCCTGCTACACCTCCTGCTGCACAGGATCTGGGGTGACCTGGGGAAAAGTGGGTGCACTTGGCTCATAGGGAGGATTTGCACCCAGGTGACCAGCTGATTAGGCAGTGGGCATGAGACTGGCAGGAGGTAAGAGCGCTGGGTTGTAGTCCCATACTCTAGCTGGTTGGCCACCAACCAAGTGACTTCCTGCCAAAAACCAGCCAGAGGGGCTTCTGTCTGGCTTTCCCACCAGTGTCCCCGGGCCCTCACTGCTGCACTGGGCTTGAGTCGCCTTTCTGAACGAATGTTGAGTGAGTGCTGTGGTGGCCTGTATGCACCTGAGACAGCATATGTGTCAGTAACAGCATCCCGTGCTGGGGTGATGCCAGCCGCCATCATGAATAACTCCAAGTTTCAGCTTATGGCCACGTGATAAAGATGTTTTTTCACTTGAATTCAGCGTGGGGATCGCTGATCCTCCCTTAGGAACCCAGGGACCCACATGTTCAGCTTGGCTGCTCTCCAGGGCCACAGAGTGCTCACAGAGAGAGCAAGAACCTCACCTGCTTCTTGGAAATGCCAGCCAGAAGGGACACCATCACTCCCACCCATGTTCTGTTGGTGGCAGGTAGTCACATGGTCCCTCTGGGTGGGAAGGGGTGCTAGAAAGCAACATCCTTGGCCAGGCTGGGGCCCCTCCCGATGAGCACACACCCCATGGTCCAGCGCTAGCTGCTGGTGCCCTATGGCCATGCCTGTGTCTCCCTCTCTCTGCCTCTGCACTTGAGAGGGTCTCTAGCTTCATCTTGTCTTTCTCCTATTCCTCTCTCTGTGTCTCTGAATATTGTGCAGGTCATTCTGGCGGTTTTTCGCCTCCTGAAGTTCTCAGATGGGGGCAGGTGCCCGAAGGAGTCATTTATGCGACCATCACCTTGGGTACTGCTTGTCTGCATTGAAATGCCAGGGGCTCCTTGCCTGCTGCCTGACTCCCAGAGAGGGGTGCATGCCCTGAGCGTGCCACACCGGCTTCCTGTCCTTGTGCTTGGGTCCTGCATGTGCACTCCAACGTGTCATTCTTCCAGACAAGTGTGACTTGCATTGCCTTCCCTGCCTGTGGCTTTGGGACAGGTGACTGGAAGGCCCCGAGTGTGCATGCCTCTCTCAGCTCGGCTCCCAGGACATCCCACAGGGCATGACGGAGCAGCTGGTGGAGATGGAGTTACCTGACCCCCACCCTCCCATTCCTGCTTGCCCTGTGCTGCCTTGGACCCGACAGTCTGTCTGTTTGAACATCTTCCATTCGTGGTGTGCTGTGATCCTTTTCAAGGACAAGAATCAAGTCCTTTGTCCTTCGTCTGCCCCAGTGAGTCCAGATCCTAGGATTTGCTGGCTGCTCAGTGAGCCTCCTGACGCCCCCTTGGAGGAGGAGGATGGGCAGGCGTTGGGATTCTCCATGGAACAGGGTGGGGGGCTTGGCGAGGGGTGGCAGTCTCAGAGGCTCAAGGCAATGGGACTCACCCACCATCTTCCTGCTGTACTCTTGTCACCTCTTTCTCTGTTCACTTTTGTCCTTAAAGATTCCCAATGACAGTGTCATTTCTATTTCACTTATGTTTAAAAAAGAAATTACTTATTTGAAAGGCAGAATTAGAGACAGATGGCTGTATGGTCAGAGCAAGGCCAGATCAGAGCCAGGAACTTCATCCAGGACTCCTATGTGGGTGCTGAGGCCCAGGCACTTGGGCCATCTTCCACTGCTTTTCCAGACGCATTAGCAGAGAGCTGGATTGGGAATGGAGCATGGAGCAGCTGGGAATTGAACTGGTAACTATGTGGGATGCAGGATTTACAGGTGACTGCTTAAGCCACTAAAGCACAACACCAGACACTTCACTTATTGCACAGTAAATATGAATCTGATGATATCGCTGATCCTAGCTGCCTAGCCAATCAGCTGTTTTGGGTTCCCTCCATTGCCCTCCAATACTGGCCTGTCGGTGTAGGCAGTTCTAGTTGTGCTTTGTCCATAGCATCATGTCTGAGGAGAGGGTTTGCAGATGGGGTCTCTGAGTTTTAATTGGTGATGCTCCTGGGTGAATGAAACCATGTTTTGCTGTTCATCGACACTTGCATGAGAAGCTTAACACATGGAGCATCCCACCTCCTGTTTGGAAAAGCAGCATCTTATGGTAAACGCCCAGACCTGGTGTTACTGGACCAGAGTGTGGGTGTTTTACGACTCCTAAAATTGGAGGTTGCTCTATTGTGCCTACCTGGCCTGTGCGGATGCATCGACATTGCCAAGGCCAGGGTTCTGCTCTATTCCGGCTCTGCTGCTAACAGACAGAAAATGATAACCTAGCCAACTGTCCTTATGCCAAGAGGAGGAGATTCAACATGGTGCATTGAAGGAAAGCTGAAATGAGCATCATCAAAACAAAATAAACCACACTTTTGTGGGTGCTGGTGTTAGAAGAACTGTTGGCAGTGACCTTGGTCTGGTTTCCTGCAGTCACGTACTAATGTGGCCTGTTTGTCATAGCATGTAGGAGCAACGCAGATAGGAGAAGGGCTTCTGGAGCCTTCTGGGGAAGGCTGTTTTAGGGATGACAGGAGGTCGGAGTCAAGCAAGGGATACAAGACCGACTTTGTGAGTCCCAGGGAAGCGGGTGATGGCCCCAGGCCCTCTGGTAACTGTTGGGACTGCTCAGGAAGGGAATGGGGAGCAGGACCAGGAGGTAGTGAGTTCCCAGAGAGAGCATCAAGGTTATGCAGACAGCATGCCTGTGTAGAGCCATGGACGAGACCAGAATTCCTGGGCTTCCCTATTCTCTGCACCCCACTTTTAAAGGCACTGACTGATTGATCAATGATATTCCCTTGGTTTTGATTGGCCTTGGAGAGAGCAGTGAGGCCTGCACAAGGGAATAACCCAGGCACAGCGCTGGGGGCAAAGGAGGGAAATTGAGGCAGGTGGTACCCAACAGGTGCCTGGTGAGCTTGGAGACTCTCAAACAGCAGGAAGAGGATACTGGTTGGCTGCCAGAAACAGACAAGGATGAACGGGACAGACTCGGGAAGATTTTTCAAAAGTGCCAATCCCTGAGGAATTCCTCAGGGAATGGGGAGGCGGCCACTGTCCCCAGGGAACTCATTCTTGCTCCTCACTGGCTCTTTGGCCTTTTCTTCCTGGGGAGTGAAAGCCACTTCCACCAGCCCTGGCTCGAGCCCAGTGCTGGCAGCCTAAGCACCCAGCCAGGGCCCTGGGGAGCCTGCTGCTGCTCCTGCCCAGGGCCAATGGGAGCCTCGCCACGCTGCGTCCCCCTTCAGTGGAGCAGAGTGAGTGGACAGCAGCCTTCTCAGTGGAGCAGGGCACTCAGAGGGCGAGACCCCTGGTCTCCTATGAAGATCTATGCAGAGCCCTGGCCTCCTCCAGGGCCCTGACGGAGCCCATTTTCCTGGCAGAGGACGGCGAGGCCGTGAGCAGCTCCTACGAGTCCTACGATGAAGAGGAAAGCAGCAAGGGCAAGGCGGCCCCCTACCAGTGGCCCTCACCTGAGGCCAGCATCGAGCTCATGCGCGATGCCCGCATCTGTGCCTTCCTGTGGCGGAAGAAATGGCTGGGCCAGTGGGCCAAGCAGCTGTGCGTCATCCGGGACACCCGGCTCCTGGTCAGTCTGCTCCCTGGGTGGGCGGGGCTGGGACACACTCACTCCACCCCCACCTCCCAGGCTTTTCCTTGGCATGAGATTGGAACTTCTCCCTGACCGGAAACTCCTAGAGGGAACAAAGGGGCTTTTTCTGAAACAGAAAGGCCTAGTTGCTTCCATGAGGCTCTCAAGGGGGCATGATGACCTTGGCCCACCCCTCACCCAGCCCATGCTCTCCATGCACCCTTTGTCAGGACTTGGTTCTGTCCCCTAGTCCCTTGCCTGCTTCCCTAGCACAGATGCCCTGTCAGGGTCCCCGCCCCAGCTTTCATCACCCCTGATTCCAAGTCCAAACTTGGGGTAGAACCAGAGGACCCCTGTCTGACCTGCCTAGTTTCCTGTGTTTTTTTTTTTTTTTTAATTAAAATCCAACTTCATGTCCTGCCTTGACATTGCCATGAAATTAGCATAAATGCCTTTTGATTCCGCTCTAAGAAAAATGTTATTTCAGGTGCTCCTGTTTGGCACCCCTTAAAGTGGAGGGACCCCATTTTTCCAACCAGGAGACCGAGAGGCCCGGTGTTTCCAGAAAGTCCCACTGCTCTGCTACCCCAGTTCTTCCCCAGTGGGCAGGTAGACAGCTTGGTTCTCATGACCTGGGGCCCGGCAGCAGCTGGGGGAGCCAGGAGCAGGTGCAGAGAAGTGGGGAGATGTCCACAGGGGACCCGATGGGCTGTGCCCCGGGACCTGCGTCAATTGGCTACTTTGCTGTCCAGTGAGCACCACAGAATACACTCAGATGGGTGCGAAGTGCCAAGCTGATAACCTTGCAGGGGCATCTCCCACGGGTGGCTCACATTGGCTGGAATGTCCTCAGGTGGCACAGGCGTGTGTATAGGACCCTCCCACACCCCATGCCTGGGGCAAGTTCCAGCTATTTGGACCACCCTGGGGCTGTCCCCGGGGTCCTGGCTGGGCCTAGTGAGAAGGAGTCTTGAAGGACAGAACTAATCCAGTGTTCAGGGCAAGAGCTGATGGTGAAAGTCAAAGTTAAGTATCTAGGCCTTTTGGGTATCCACAGGGGTGTCCCCCACTTTGGGTGGGGTCAAGCTGGTCTTCAGGGACTCCTTCAGTGTCCTGAAAACCTCCCACTCCCTTTGCAGAACCTGACTTGCTCCCCTCCCTTCCCCTCCAGTGCTACAAGTCCTCCAAGGACCACAGTCCTCAGCTAGACGTGAACTTGGTGGGCAGCAGCGTGGTGCACAAGGAGAAGCAAGTGCGGAAGAAGGAGCACAAGCTGAAGATCACGCCCATGAACGCCGACGTGATCGTGCTGGGCCTGCAGAGCAAGGACCAGGCTGAGCAGTGGCTCAGGGTGAGGCCCGCTGGCCCGCCAGGAACACCCGGAGGGTGTGGGGGGCTCTTAGAGCTCTGGCTTCTAGCCCTTTCCAAAGGGTCAACAGCAGAACATCCCCAGGGCCTCATGTGGCCTCAGTGGTGGCATCGGTCTCACAGAGATGCCGTGCTGTCCACTTGTCCGGGATCCCCAACAGCTTGCACTGACTGGGCAGTAGATGCAATCCACTGGCCTTCTAGACAAAAACCACCCTGGGCCTAGCTGGACAATGTCACTGCCCCCATTTGCCAGGAGTGAAGATTAAGGCTCAGAGGGCAGAGGCCACTGGCAAGTAAGTGGGAGCGTTGGATGCCAGTCCTGGGCCTGCTTAGCCTCATTGCTGGCTTTCCCCCCCCCCCCCCGCCAACACACATAGTCCTGTCTGGTTTCCCTTAGCCAAAGGGTGATGATAGGGAAGTGTCTGGGCAGGTGCCCAGCTGCCCCAGGTCTGAGATGAGCATGATGCTTCCAGAAGTGTAAGGTTTGTATCAGGAAAGGACACACAGATCCCCAAATCCCGCAGGTCCTGGGAGAGAGGGGTGATGAGAGGCCCTTCTCCTGGTTCCTATCCCTCACAGATCGTGTCATGCCAGGGCCTGGGCTGGGCTGAGCCGAAGCCAGGAGCTTCTTGTTGGTTTCCCTCATATGCAGGGGCCTAAGCACCTGGTCCATCCTTTGCTGCTTCCTCAGGCACGTTACCTGGGAGCTGGCTGACTGCCTCAGAATACCTAGGGGCCTGCAGGAAAGGGCCCGAGCAGCAAGGCTTGCTTGTTGCACCTGCCCAGCTCCTTCCCAGGCCACAGATGGACCTTGGTGGACATGGACATGGCTGTATTTGGAAGAGGGGGACAGTGTGATTTCCGTTTCACTACCCCCTACCCTCCTGGCCATGGGAGTTCCAGCATTGATCAGGCTGTGCATAGAGGCCAGGGGACAGTGGAGACCTGGGTCTGTGCTGACAGTCTCTTCCGGCCGCAGGTCATCCAGGAGGTGAGTGGCCTGCCTTCCGAGGGCACGTCTGAGGGAAACCAGTATACCCCGGATGTCCTGCGCCTGCCTGGCCACAGAGTAAGTCTCCGCCCCCACTGAGGGATGCCGATTCCATTTCTCCCCTGTAACAGTCCACAGTGGCAGGTTGGGGACCTGTGCTTCTGGACTTCAGCCCCATTAATAAGCAGCATCCGCTACCTAGATGAGACAAGTGGTTTTAGCTTGGCAGGAAAATAGATGAAGTTGACGCACATCTAAAATATTTCCTTGCTCCAGGGAAAAAGGGGTATAATGTATGCAGCTCAGTGAGGGGAGCTCTGGCAAGGCTGATCTCCCACCCGTGTGTCCTCCCCCTAGGACCACCACCACTGAAAGTTTCCTGTGGCTTGTCCCCGGGTCTCTGCAGGGAGGTCCCACAACTCCTGGTACATGCACAGCTGCCACAAAGCCACTGTGTGTCCTTTGGGGACCCTATCCCAGGCAGAGAGGAAAGCGGGGGCTATGCCGTGGGCTTGGGCAAGGAGGAAGAGACCTTTGGAATGACTTGAAGTGGAGGCTGTTGCTGTTTGCTTCCTTTCTTGTCCAAGAACTAGAAAACACAGATTGGGGTGAGGTTGAGTTTCCTTAACAGGGTGGGCGGGGGCAAGGGTCAGAAATAAGGGTTTGTGAGCATTTCCTGGCCAGGGCCTGCTGTGTGGGAGCAAGGTCTTCAGCCTGCTCTTGCAAGGCCCTGTTGCAGGATGCTGGATGCTGCTGCGGTTTTGTGGGATGCACACCGGGTGAGGCTTAGAGCACTGGCTGGGTCATTCCATGTGGGAGTCAGGGCTAGACTTGTATCCTGCTTCTGGAGGCCAAGCCAGCCCTTCACCAAAATCTGCTTGGGTTTCTGCACAGTGAGCTCTCCAAAGACTTTCCTGCTAGGGATAGCTCTCAGCTTGAAGTCAGCTTCCTTGGAGCTAGGCTGCCTGGCTGACCTGACCGCTGGCTTTGGGGCCACCCTGATGAGGGGAAACAGCCTGTAGAGAACTTACAGATGAGGAGGTGTTGACCTAAGGAGGGAAGGCATCCATGGGTGGGGCAGGGCACTCCATCAGGGAGAGGAAGGAGGGTGCTCCTGGCAGCCTTGGGGAGCTGCTGGGCTGGTGCCCTGCCAAGGAGGGACCAGGAATTTGCAGTTTGGGTGCCAAATGGGGGCTTGAGCAGGTGACCTCTGGCCTCCACTCAAGAGCCATTGATTGTTTTCCCTTAAATTGTCACCAAGGGAGCTGTTCTCAGCCAGTGCCCCCCTCCTCCACAGCTGTTCTCAGCCAGTGCCGCCCCCCTCCACAGCTGTTCTCAACCAGTGCCCGTCCCCACTCACTCCTCTCTCCTTCACAGCCAGACATAGCTGAGAAGTACCTGTCAGCTCCCGAGTGCGGGAGCCCCATGGATGGCCACCCCGAGACCACAGAGACCAAAGATGGTAACAAGGCTGTTGACCTCATGGCTGCGGGGGGCGGTACACCAGCAAGTGCGATGAGCTGTCTGATCAGCTCTGGTTTCTCATGGTTACTAACTGGGACATGGTCTCCGGTTTATAAGCTGCTTAGAAATACAGCCATGGAGAGCTGCACGTACAAGAAAAAGATGGCCAGATTGAGGCTACATCTCCCCAAGGCTGGAGATGAAATATTTGTGCAGCGCTGACTGGGGGTCACCTATTCCCAGTGTCTTGGGGTTCAGACTCAGGTGCTTGCCTACTTCTTAAGAGGTCTGTGTCCCCTCTACAGCAAGCTGATTGTGGTGGGGATCCCATTTGGGGAGCAGGTGTGGGGTGTGTGTGTCAAGGGTGCGTGGATGAGGTGTGGGTATGGTGTATGTGTGTTTGGGGGATGAGTGGATGTGGATGAAGTAGATAAGGGCACAGGGAGGGGCAGGTGCAGTCCTGACCACCTTCCGTGTGTCTGTACAGTCAAGAAGAAATGTTCTGCTGGCCTCAAATTGAGCAACCTCATGAACCTGGGCCGGAAGAAGTCCAGCTCCCTGGAGCCACCAGAGAGATCCCTGGAGACATCCAGTAAGACTTGCAGCCCCCCATCTTACCCCCAGGGCCTCAAGGGCTCGATCAACACAGGAAAGCAGGGCAACAGATTTCAGGGCTTGCTTCCAACACCGAGAGCTCTGGGCCTTCCGGGTTGGCTTCAGTTTGTCTTCCCTGCAGGTGATTCCTACTCTTGTTTGAGAGGCAGACCTGCTGGTCCTCACTTGCTGCCCCCCCCCAGGACTTCATAGTGGGAAGCTGGATTTGGGTGCAGGAGCGGCACTGTGAATGGGATGGGAGCATCTTACCCTTCAGCAAATGCCAAATTCCTTTGGTTCCACACATGAAGTATGGTTGGCACAGTGTTAGGAAAAGGAGACCCCAGCAGGTGGAAGGCCCTGTTCTCAGAGCACACCAGCCCAGGAGGAAGGCTGACCTTGTAGCTGAGTCCACACTGTGTTCTCTCTGTAGTCACAGGGACGTGGGGAGAGGCGGAAGCTTTCACGCTCTGAGGTCAGAGGCGGCTGCGGGGACCTGAGTGCCAAGGGGGCAGCGGCAGCTGAGTAGGCCTGTGGCAGGAAGGCGAATTTTGAGACAGGAACAGCTGCGACCCAGGAAGGCCACAGTGCGGAGCCTGTTACCACGGGCTGGGGGAGGGGAGGCGCTAGTGAGTTTAGAGGTCAGTTCCATTGTTGGGACACCTGCTGAGGTAAACTGAGGCCTGCTGGGCTGAACCACATGCGGGAAGTCATGACTGCAGTCCCCCCTGGGGCCCGTAGGCCATTACTCTCCATCTTGGGGCTTTGTCCTATTACTCAGGGTCAGGTCTCCATCCCTGAGTTGTCCTTTCTGAGGTGGGAGGGTAGGGGTGGGGTGGAACGGAGCTGTAAGGGAGCTGGGGAAGAAGTGGTCTGGCTGTGCCCACCCCTGTAGCCCCTGAGGGCCAGCGCATGGCTTGGGAACCTGCTGACTGCTGGAGGTCCAGGGAGAACATAGCTGCTCTCCTTCCCAGGAGTTGGGGGTGCTAACAATCTGAACCCCCACCTGTGCAGGCCCACTGTTCCCTCCACTCCTAACGCCTAGGATGTATGTGGAGCCTCTGTCTGGCCAACCCTGCTCTCCTATTCTGCCCCTTGCTAGGAGGATAACAGGGCTCGGAAATGTCCATGGTTTGCCCTGTGTGTCCCGCAGTGGGCTGGGTTGTAGCTAGCCGTGATGTTCACCTGTTACTAGTACATCCTGCCTGTGGTTCCTAGCAGCCTCCAGGTACTTAGTGTGGACCAAGCCAGTGCCTCCGGGGAGATGAGCAGCACAGGACCCAGTCCACCAGAATGTGCAGGACCCTTCAGCACGTGGAGCCAGGCGGGGTGCTTTAGGGGTGGGGTCTGTCCTTTGCAGAGTACTCCTGGGGCCTGGTCTGATTGAAAATGCAAGTCACCGCTCTCTAGAGGTGCTTTTGCCGGAGACCAGAACAGCTGCGCTGCCCACCTGCAGCTGTGCTGCCAGGGATGGAGGAGAATGCTGTGAGCTTCAGCCCCTGTGAGATAAGAAAGCACGGCCAGTTCTAGCATTGAGATTCTAGAGAAAGGTCCAAGAGGCCCAGAGGTGGTCCAGCCCTGGACACATAGAGCTCTCCAAGAGGTGTTTACAGTCCTGCAGCCTTGCCCCCCACCCCATGCACACACAGTCACACACACACAGTCTCATCCACACACGCAGCCCCATCCCCACCATATCCACCTCTCCCTGCAGGTTATCTGAACGTGCTGGTCAACAGCCAGTGGAAGTCACGCTGGTGCTCCGTCAGGGGCAATCACCTGTACTTCTACCAGGACCGGAACCGGAGCAAGGCAGCCCAGCAGCCCCTCAACCTGGTGGGCTGTGAAGTGGTCCCAGACCCCAGCCCTGACCACCTCTACTCCTTCCGCATCCTGCACAATGGCGAGGAGCTGGTCAAGCTTGAGGTATGACTGGCCTGTGGGGCCAGCTCTGTGGTGGCCATCACTGTAGCCAGCTGCCTGCCTGCCTCCAGAGTCCCACCAAGGCGACACCGATGGGGCCCCCGTTGGTTGACTTCCTTTGCTTGGGATTGTTTGCAATTTTCAAATTTTCCATTCCTTTTCTGACCTCAGGGTAGCTGTGCCATAGGAGTGGGACAATGAGCATTTCCCGTGCTGCAGCAGGAGTATTTATAACTCCCCCAGCAGCTGGAAAGGCCGCTCGGGACGGGAAATGGGTGCCTTGCTGCGTGTTTGTCACCAGCTGGGAGTCTATCCCTGGTGCATTCAGGGCTTATCTGTGGGGCTGAATGAGCCTTGGAACAATGACATTTCTCAGCTCCCCACCCTGTGTGATGTGATGTTACATGTCCCAAGCTGAGGTGACATAATGCCTGCAGTGAGCTGGTGCAGGCTGAGCACACAAAAACAAGCTTGCCTAGGAGCTCCTGTGCACTTCGTCCTATCATTCAGTGTTCTAACACCACCCTCTGGTGGCGAAAGGCCCACAAGGCAGTTGCTTCTCCAGGATGAGCTTGTGTTTATTCTTGTATCCATTGACAAGTACTTGTATCAACTTATTGTAATAACATGGTAACCGAGATAAACAAAGAAGAGACATAGACGGACACTCCCTGTGTTCATGGAAAAATTGGTAGCATTCATAGGATTCCCAGGGCTTTTTCTCTTGTTAGCAAGAAATGCTGGCTTGTTCATAGAAGTCCCTGGTGTGGATATGTGGGGAAAAGCATTGCTTCCTGGGGAAGAACAAAGCTCCCGACTCCCCAGCACCTAGCTCATGGCGTAGCAGAGATTGTTGGCCTCAGAAAGGAGTTTAGGATGTCCTGGCCTTCCAGAAGTCAGAGAAGTCAGGGTATCATTTCTCAGCAGGGATTTTGGGGTCCTGTAGGCATGGCACATGATCATTTGGAACTTGAGCTGTCAGCCTAAAGCCCCAGCACACACAGGTCCCCTGGGAACTTTCAGTAACTCTGGGCAGATGGGATTTCCGTAGTCATCACACCTGCTTAACAAAGCCCTCTTTGCACCAGGCCTGCAAGTCACCTGACTCATGGGGCGAATCCCCATGGCTTTGTTAAGGGGACATCGAGGTGTCGGTAATACGAGGTGTGATTTGGGGTCCCTGGCTGTTTCAGAAGGACACAGGCAGAAAGCAGGTGGAGACAGGCCGGCCACAGGTAGCACATCCGGCCCTACTCAAGTCTCCCCCACCTCTCTCCAGGCCAAGTCTTCCGAGGAGATGGGCCACTGGCTGGGCCTCCTGCTGTCCGAGTCAGGCTCCAAGACAGACCCAGAAGAGTTCACCTACGACTACGTGGATGCCGACCGGGTTTCCTGCATTGTGAGCGCAGCCAAGAATTCCCTCTTGTGAGTACAGTAGGGCTTTCTGCCCCGCACCCTCCCCTGCTCAGCTGTGCTTCCAGACCTGGGCATGAGCAACCCGAGCAGGTGGCCACCGTGGACACAGCTCTGGGCCTGCTCTACTTCATAGCAGGAAGACGGAGCCTCTGGGAGCCCCAGCGGAGAGCCGGCCAGGCGCTGGATCCCCGGGGAGGCAGGGAGAGCAGGGCGGCCTCCTTGGCCCTGGGTAGGTGCCTTGCAGCAACAAGAGCAAGGGGCAGTGCCTCTCCTGACTTGCCACTTGTCCTTCCTGTCTGCTCAGTGTTTCCTTACTGAGCCACATCACATCCCTGTGGAGCGTGGATTAAGGCAGGGGGCAGTGATACTGGCTCTGGGAGAAGTGGCCTGAGTCAGGTGGCCATGGGAGCTTGCCAGGTCACTGACATGGAGCCTGGGGTACTATACATTTGTAGCTCCAGAGTGGCAGTTCAGTGCTTGCCTGCCTCCATCTGACCTTAGAATCGAGAATACTTCTGGCTTCAAAGAAATGAATTTGGAAGGATTCTTTTTTTTTTTTTTAAAGTAGACTGAGAATAATTAAGTTCAATAGACATATCCAGATGCGAGTATGTAGTGCAATGTGCATCTCTACTTACAGAGAAGGACTACTGCTGGAACTATTAGCTGTATCTTGACAATGGGAGGCTGGACTCTGCCACTGTCCGTGCCCACAATGAGGAGCAGTGACTGTCTATGAAGAGCTATGCTATAGTAATGATATAGGGGAATTTAAGAAACAGGAATAGTCTCTGGCCTGTGCTGCTGCAGGTGCATGGTGAAGTAATGAGAAGGGATGATGCTACTCTGGTCGGAAGGGGATGCTGAAAGTGAGGAACTAGGGGACCAAGATGGCAAAAGGACCCTACACAGAGTTGGGCCTGGGAAGCTTATGCTTCTGGAAGGGGATGCTGGATCTCAGAGCTCTAAAAAGAGGATGCTGGGAAATGGAGGGGGGGAATACCCCAGGTGCACGGAGCTGGTGGTGGTCCCTGGGTTCCTAGGCACTAGCTGTCATGCGCTCACCTGCCCTGTTGTGGGTGCTTCATTCACACTGTGGCTGGCCATGTGTTGCAGACTCATGCAGAGGAAGTTCTCAGAGCCCAACACGTACATCGACGGCTTGCCCAGCCGCGATCGCCAGGAGGACCTGTACGATGACGTTGAGGTGTCGGAGCTCACAACAGTGGTAGGGGCCCGCTGGGCAGTGGTCTGGGGGCCCTGAACTCCTCCTCCTGCCACAGAGCACACTGCGTTGTCTGAGTGGCGGGTTAGCCTTGTCCAAGGTCACTGGGGCAGAGAGGTTGTGTTGTGTGGGCCTGGGGCTGTGCAGTTCAGTGGCAGGGGTCTCACGACCTCGATGAAATAGCTGAACTAGGCTTGGGAGGACCTTGTGGTGGGGGGATTGAGAGCCGTGACTCCTTTAGGCTCTGAGGTCTGCATTGATCACAGAGCTGCACAGATGGTATAGACGGCAGGTACTGTGTGCCCAGCAGCAAGCCCTGTGGTGCTAAGGGCTTCGTGTAGTTTCTTATTCACTCCCAGCCTCCTTGGAGAATGTTAACTGCTGTTTTCTTTACAGGTGAGGAGGAAGGGTCAGGGTAGTAGTGATGGTGTGGCATGGGTTTTAACCATCACCACCTACACACACTTGTGTGTTAACATCCGGAACTTGGGAGAACCTCATCTAAGAGGAAGGGAAGTTCCCCACAAGCTGCAGAATGGAGTGGGACTGGAAGCCTGGAGAGCAGGCTGGTGCCTCTGCTATGGCTGAGGGCATGGGGTAACGGCAAACGCCCCTCTCTTCTGCAGGTGGAACCTGCCGAGGAAGCCACCCCTGCCGCAGGTATCCCAAATGAGAGTGAGCATGACCGAGTATACCTGGACCTCACACCCATCAAGTCCTTCCTGCACAACTCCGGTGGGATACAGGCCCGGGCTGCCTCCCCCACCCCACCCCACCCAGATGGCCGGGCAGAGGACCTCCCTGTTGACCCAAGTCCCGGCCGTGACCTGGATGAGCCCTGCACAACATTGGCTGAGAACCTGGAAGAGCAGGTACAGCCTCAGTAGGTGAGCAAGCCCCCACCCCCTCCTGCCAGCCTGCATCAGGCCGAGTCACTTTTGCTTCGTCCAAAGCAGAAGCGGCTGGGGAGTTTGGAGCCAGATGATGCTTCCCCAAGAATCACCACAGTCAGAATCCAGAGTGAACAGCAGATCTCCTTCCCCGCAAGCTGCCCTGACCCCGTGGCTGCCACCCTAGCTGGCAGCAGCCCACCTGTCAAGGACAGATCACGGGTGAACAGCGCAGGTATGTGTGCTAAATACAACCCCAGTACATTGGCCATGGCTTACAGAAGTGAGTTTGATTCCCTCCTGCTCAGATGAGAGAGTGAAGGTCCGCCAGCAGACAGCGTGGGCCCAGTCCACCTTGCTGTTACCTACCACGCTGGCTGGCACTCAGAGCTGCTCTGAAACAATGCCCTGGGTGCTGGCTCATCCTGAGGAGTGGGTTGGGCACAGGCCTCCTACACCAGCCCAGCTCCCCTGAGGCTTCCTGTCTCGGGGTCTGCAGAGATCAAACTTGGCAAGAATCGCACAGAGGCTGAGGTGAAGCGGTACACGGAGGAGAAGGAGAGGCTGGAGAAGCAGAAGGAGGAGATCCGGGGACACCTGGCTCAGCTGCGGAAGGAGAAGCGGGAGCTGAAGGAGACGCTGGGCAGGTGCACAGGTGAGCGGCCTCCACAGGACCAGCACATGGCTTTGTATATCTTTAAAAACTGATTTGTTTGAATCACTGGTGTATTTTGGTATCATTAAAAGCAAATGCATATTCCTGGGCCCATCGTTGGATGGAGTGCCGAGACCTGGGTCCCCGAGTGTGTCCTTTGAGGACACACAACTCCTGCAGGAGCCATCCTCAGCTTCCGGGGGCTTCCTTTAAAGTGAACAAAGACTTCAGACTCTTGTACCACCTGCGTCTGTGTCTCTTCTGAAATCCTGCTGGTGTGTGACAGGTGTGTCCTGACAACAGAAGCCTCTGAGCCTTTAAGGCATTTGGCTTCTTTTTCCACACAGTGACTTTGAGCTCCTGGAATATTCAAATTGCACAACTGTACCAACAAACAACTGGCAGAGCAGGTTTGGGGACAAATGCAGCTGATTCCAAGAGGATTGGTGAAAGGAGGTCTTGGGGACACAAATTTTGTTTGTGCCTTATTAACATGGTTGCACTCTATGCCACATGTAGACTAGAGCTCATCAGTAATGTCCAGTAACTGCAGGAGTGCCAGGGAGGTGCCAGGGAGGTGCCAGGGACTTTTAGCTCTGTCTTTCCTCTCCTGGATATTCCAGATGAGAGAGGGGAATTGCCACTCTAGTTTGTTCTCACTACAACTGCACCCTGTAGATTCTATAAAACTGGTTTTTTCAGCTGTATTTCTTTTGAACTCAAATCCCCAAAAGTATTGACAATATTTTCTGATTACAGTGGCCCCTGCTTGTCCTCTGACAACTGCTGACATAGATGTTGGAGCTGTGTTGGTGGTTGTTGACTCCTGCGTGAAGCTCTGTGTGGGACACATGTGGTGCCTGCCTGTTTTTCTAACACTCCAGAACCTTCTGGGAGGAAATCCCATGAGGTCACAGTTTCCTGCTGCAGTAACTCCAGGATAAGGACCCCTGTTGCATTAGGCATATGGGGGCACTGGGAGGTGCAGGTCAAACAGCCCAGCACTGCTCCAGTGATCATTAGCAAAGCTTCTCCAAGCCTTTTGGGTCATTGTAACAGTAATAAACCCAGGTTACCCAGGGAGGAACTTGAGTCTCAGACATTTGCCCTCTTGTGAAAGCAGAGGCCTCCTCTGGAACCTGCCAGACCTGGCAGGATGCCTAGCAGGACTTGGGCCTTGAGGCTACTCCTTACACACAGGTCCCCTGCAGCCCCAGTTGCTGGGGCCAGCCCTGTGGTTCATGGCCTGGCCTTGGCTGGAATGCTGTTCTCTGCAGTTGGCTGCGTTTTCTCTGCAGACAAGGGCGTCATGGCCAGCCTGGAGCAGAAGCTGAGGGAGATAGACGAGGAGTGCCGGGTCGAGGAGAGCAGGCGTGTGGACCTGGAGCTCAGCATCATGGAGGTGAAGGACAACCTGAAGAAGGCCGAGGCGGGGCCCGTGACTCTGGGCACCACAGTGGACACCACCCACCTGGAGAGTGTGAGCCCCCGCGTGAGTGCCAGGCCTGCAGCTGCCTGCAGGGCCTCGGGAACCCGGGAGGAGGTCCTGTGTCCACCTGCTTGTCTCAGTCCTTACTGCCTCCCTCTGACCACAGCCCAAAGCTGCCGCCACTCCCACCCCTGCACCTGACTCTACTCCAGTCAACTCTGCAACAGCCCTCAAGAACAGGCCTCTCTCGGTCATGGTCACAGGCAAAGGCACCGTCCTTCAGAAAGCCAAGGTAAGAGGGTCCTGCCGGTCTCAGGACCAACAAAGTTCAGGTCAAGTTCTAAGCCACGTGCCCATGCCCTTCAGCTCTGGCATCCTGTGTCCCTGCTTGCTTCAGGCATTCTTACTCAACAGCCTCAGACTCCTCTCTACTACTCCATAATCACATTGCAGGGACTCCGGAAAAGCACATTTGGGCAGGCAGTATAATGTGGCAATAGGCCAGCACCACGGAATAGACAAGGAATGGGTGTTAGCAACCTCGATTCTCCTTCAGGGCTAGTCCTAAATTCACTTGGCTCCCAAAAGAACACAGCTCCAGCTGCCTCCGTTTTTGGCAAGCTCTGTTCTTTGTTCCTCTCCTGCTGATCTGCTGCAGACGTCTCAAGGCTTCCACACCAGGGACTGACTAGAAAATTCATGGCAAGTACATGAGCCGCTGCTCTCTTACTGCCGTGCAGGCATCACTAATCACTCGCTGATGTGTCACAGCCTGGATCTCTTAATAGGTGTTCCAAGCAGTAATAAACACAGGTTGATTTTTTGTTGTTGCTGCTGTATTCCCTGCACAGATACTTCTGTGCGTGAGGGTCCTTCAGAAAGTTCATGAAAAATGAAATTGCAAGATACATTTTGATGCAACACATTTTTAAAATCCATACAATACAAGAGGTCTTGAAAAAACATTCATGGGAACGTGTATTTTGGGGGAGGCACTGAAATGTTTTTTGTTCCATTTTTCATGAATTTTGAAGTACCCTCATGCAAAGAATTACTAAGAAGGATGACTAATTTTCTTTTGGGGGGGGGTCCGTGGGTGGCCTCTAGGAATGGGAAAAGAAAGGAGCAAGTTAGGAGACAAGCTTCGTCTAAGGACTCTGGCAGCAACACGGACCTTGGTGACAATCCTGCTTCGTGACAGTCTTTGTGTGAAAGCAGCCACTCCGAAAGGGTGAGTGTGTCTAGAAGAAATAGGATGTAGACTGTGGAGCATTTCAGAGAGAAGGCAGAAACAAAAACCGAGCTGGAGAGAAGAATTCCACGAGGAAGGGCTGCTGCTTTGGGGACCTCGGTCTGCTGGATGTCGTCAAGCCTTCTATTTAGGGATGTTCTGTGTTTCTTTGTCCAAAATTGCCAACCTTTGCTTTAGCGAGGCTTTTAAGGAGGGAAAAGCTGGGAGAAAGAAGTCAAGCTCACATGGCTTTGCTGACTGAGAAGGTTGAAACTCCTGTTATTTCCTAGCCCAGTACTTGGTAGCTTTGGGGGTTAAACCATCCTCGCCTTCAAGCTCTCTCTCTCTCGTTTTGTGGGCCCACATCAGTCTTCAGTGATTTTTTTAAACAGCCATGGTCTGGCCTGTGGAAAACCGTCTGACAGGGTAATATCTGGGACCAAGCTGAGGCACAGACCCGACCACGTTAAGGATCTGTTTCTTGAAGCAACTTCCTTTAAATACAAGTGTAAATGATGTCACGTAACATAGGAAGTATAAAAATCTTGTAATTTAGAATAGTGAAATGTACTTTCTTGCAATTTAACTGACATTTTTACATTATCATAAGAAAAAATATCACCCCCTGTTTACAGATTCAGCCCTGTGGCCAGGCCATTTTTAGGGGAACAGTTATTTAATGCCACGCTGTTAGTCCCCAGGAAGGGAGAGGGGTGGGCTTGCTCTCCTCCTGCAGGCAGCAGTGCTGCCTCTGTCTTTTCCTCAGATGGGATCCTTTCACACAGGTTGGATCATTTCACCTGTTAGCATCTCTGCCTCGGTTCTGAATTCCAGTTCTCTAATAGTGGCTCCTGAGAACAAAGGTCTCCTTTTTTTTTTTAGAAAATTCTAATTCCAGGGCATTTGTTTCCTTTGTCATAAACACTTGGTGACCTTTCATCAAGTGGTGGGTTAGATTTTTGTTTTGTTTTTTTAAATAAAAATTTCCTTGTACCTTGGGTCTCCTGTGCATCTCCTGTAATGACTTGGGACAGGGCCTGGGGAACATCTAGGTTATTTGCGTCCTGAACTTCATACATGTAACAAAAGCACGTAGAATTACAAAGTACGATTCCAAGTCTTAAACCCAGGAAGGGAGATAAAGCTGAAAGATGACAATACACAGGAGACAGCTATAGAAACGGATCAGAGGTAGGAAACAGAAAAATCGACTGCTAGAAGTTACACACACTACGCTCGGATTCAGGAAGTATGCTCAAGTGAAAGAGCCGAAATATGGCTTATTGAAATGACTAATAAAAACACATGAATATGAAATAGCAGAACTGAAAAGGACAGACCACAGCATTTTAGTTACAAATTGAAAGTGTGTTTTCCATTAGAAAGTTACCATAGCTCTGATTTCATTTCAACACAAAAAAGAGAAACAAAACTTTAATTTTTGGAAAGAGATGAAAACCTCTTAAAATACTGGCAAAATTAAATTCAGCAGTGTTGAAAGAATGTTTCATGACCAAATAGTTAGCCAAGCAACCAAAGGTACTTCATTCCTGAGTACATAAAGAGATGGGTCATTTATAACATTAACAGAATAAATGTGGAAAAACCTCTCAAAGCAAATGGGAAAGCATGCCCCAGTTCTCAGCCCCACTGGCCATCTCAGTATAGAAAGACGTTCGTTTAACCTGATGACATCACCCTTGGAAACCAACTATCCTGGTAAAAATGTCGCTTTGAAAACCAGATGTGAACACGTGCCGTTACCACTACTTTGAAAAGCATTACTTTGGAAGTCCTGAACGATGCAGAAATGCCAAGGAAAGGTAGCCTAATGCTTCAAAAGGAAGAAACAAAACCATTTGGAAAGAACATTTCTCTAGAAAAGCAGAAATATTACAACTCTGTGCCCAGAGCTACGGACCTGAGGGCAGAACTGTTCAAAGAAACCAAAAGCAGTATCTGACCCATTTGCAACACCCTAGCTGTATAATTGAAGCTGGAAACAAAAGCGCATCTCTTGTAAGTAAAAGAAATAGGCCTGACTGGTCAGGCACTAAAACAGGCACTCCTTGTTACTGCTGGGTCATGAAAAGACAAACTCAGTGCCATCATCACGTACAAAGATTCAAGAGGGGTTTCAAAGGCTGGAACTCCAGTTTCTAAAAACTCCCCACCTAAGACCTTTAATACAGAGGCCCAGAGTTCGCAATGTAAGTGCAAGGACTCCTAATAATGATCCCTGATGTCATAAAATGAGGAATAAAATTAAGGCCAGAGAGTTCGTGAAATGTCTGTGACATCATTGACCAGCACCTGTTGGTTGGGCATGGGAGCCTGGCTGACATGCACCTGTGAGCAATACAAAAGTCATTATCCATGAAAACTCCCTAGAACCAAGACAATGCCATCACCCCATGCCTGGTACACTGCACGGTTTGCATGACACCCAAGGCCCTTTCCTAACACCAGAAATCCTGAGGTTTTAAAAGCTGAGTGGCATTCAAGCCAGTATAGCCTTGACCCTTCATACACTGTGTCATAATACAGTCATGTGTCAGTGATGGGAAATGCTCTGATGGAGGAAATCCCAGAGTACAGCAACACAGACCAAGTGGGTGATGAGGCCATGGGATGATAGAATCTTAGCACACCTCCATCGTACACACGGACCAGAGTGAACCAAAACCTCGTTATGCCTGTATTGACATTAAACAGAACAATGGTCAAGTGTCTGTATGTGTGTCAGAGCCTTACGAATGTTTCTGATGGAAATCCAACCTAGAGACTAAGAGATAAGAACTGCTTATTACCAAATGCTGTCACAGAATATTCTTAATTAGCCTCTTTGCTGTTTAGGTGGAAATATATTCCTGGGAAAAACAAGCTTTAGGCTCCTAATTTCTGCTCAGGCCAGTCCCGGCCCATGCAGACATTTGGGGAGCAAACCAGCAGATGGGAGTGTGTAGAACAAAAAGCATAAAAAGTAAAATGTAAGAAACATCTTATCTATGTCTTAACAAAGCAAAACCCCCTCTTATCTTCTGTTGACCCCAAGAATCCCACTCCTCTCTACCCCACAAGAAGAATAGAAAGTGCCTGATAAACACCCCACAATGGCCCTGTTCTAAGTAAACTCTCAGAAGACCTCAAGGGGATGCTGCCCATACCAGACCAATCGCTGATCAGAGCCACACGGGTGCCCTCCCCCCACAAAGATAAAATCAACCAGTCAATTGGTCAAGTTCCAGTCTGGGATCTTCCCAGGCCTCACCCCCCAGGGGAGGTCACACGTGCCACTCACTCAGTATCCAGCATTCTGGGTAAGTGAAAAAGCCCATGCTTTTTTCCACCTGGAAATGCCGTTGCTTCCGTGAAGGACGCTCCAGGAATCGCCTCGCGCAGAGTAAGGCTGTCTCAGCAAGGTTGTGTCTAGCACTTGGCATGGGCAAAGTAGACGTTGGACATCAGATATCCTCTGTGCCCTCAGGCAAGAGAGCTGGCAGGTGATGTCACATCAACATGCCACAAGCAGGCGAAGAAATATTCACCAACATAAGCCAAATTTCCAGTGTCAACGTTAGTGGGCGACAGCAACTCCATCAGCAGCTGAGACATCCTTCTCCCAGGCAAGGCTGGTGGTGAGCAGAAGGTTTTGGACAAAGCAGGAAGCAGATACTCTGGGGGGCTCCCAAAGCTATGCTGTGCCCAGGGAGGCCCCTTTTAGTGCCCAGGGTGTGCCAGCCTTCCCCAGGCTTGCTGGGAAGGATGTGGCTGCTGTCCTCCTGCAGGCTCTTGGTGGGCGCTGTGTGCCTGGGGGGCATCACCTCTCAAGACCCCTGGAAAAAGACGTGAGCTCTGAGAACATGAGTGTCCAAGGCCTCTCCTCACCCCACCTACAACCCAGGAGTCCCCTTCACACCTTTCTGCGAGTCCACAGCCTAAACCACTATGCAGAAGATTCCAGATCAGACCCCACCTGCTTGCCTTTCACATCCACCCCTGGCCTCAGGAAGTCACCCTCTGCAGGTGGCTGAATTCTCAAGGCTCCAGCTTGTTTTCTGGTTTCTGACTGTTCACTCTTTGTTTAAATTTGTACTTATTGGAAAGTTACAGAGCGATCTACTCTGTGTTGGCTGTATTGGCCAGTGGTGGACCACGCCAAATCCAGGAGTTTCATCCTGGCAGGACACCAAGCATTTGGGCCATCCACCGCTGCTTTCCCTAGGCAATTAGCAGGGAACTGGATTGGAATGGTGGAAACACAAACCAGGATCCATATGCTGGCCTAATTTTAAACTCTTGAGTGAGAGTCGTGGGGACAGTAAAGCTACCCCATACTTGTTCTCTCTGTCACTCCCCTATCTTGTAAACCCCATTCTCACTCAGCAGATGGCTGTGCTCATTTCACAGAGCAAGCAGAAAACACCAAAGATCCCCAGCCCCCACCACTGATCTATCCACCAACCTGCCTCTGAGCCCACGTCTTCTGCCTCCATCCCGGTCATCACCACAGATGTACCGTGCTTCTAGCTAAGGCTTCCCTCTGTGTCATCTTCTCTAGGGGCTCAGCACCACTGCATACACCACTCGTGCCCACCCAGTTCTTTCTGCCTCCATAAGAGCAGAGATTTCATTGCTTAGCATACTACTGTATTCCCACAATAGAGCAGTCCCTGGGATGTACCAGGTACTTGCTGAGTGTTTTATGGACACAAAGCAGAGACATGACTGATTCTCACATTGAACAAAAGCTCTAGGCCACCTGTAGCCAAGTTGTTGGGCCTTGGCAGGCCTCAGAATCCCCGCTCCAACTGCTGCAGAAGCCCACTTACGATTCTCACAGTGGGGGCCTTCCCAGCCACCCCGGCACTCGCAGCGGTAGCTCGCATTCTGCAGGACGCAGGCACCCTCATTCATGCATGGGCTGGGTTTGCAGAGGTTGACCGGTCGCTTGGCTTCTACAACAGAGAACCCACCCACCATTTAGGCCCAGCTGAGTCAGACCCTGATGCAAGGCCACTAGAGCAGTGGCTCCGATAGGCCCCTGGGTCACAGGCCAGGACAGCTGGTGCTATAGGCTACTTGGCTAAGTCCCAGTTTCCACCTGATATTCCCACATGCATTATATGCAGAAAGTGTGTGTGTTCTGGGTACGTGGCAGTGTGTCACTGGTGCCACACACTGTTTAAATGGACAGGAAATCTCTGGCAAAAGGAAGTCGTGGCATCATACTATCTAGATCAATCAGGGGGTCTTTTAAAGCTTCGAGGAGGGGGTCTAGAACTGGCTCCCATTTAAGTGAAATGCAGAAATTCCATAGTTCATAGAGCCATTCTCTGCACCTTAACTGCGAAATGGGGACAGTTCTGGCCATGCAATCACACACAGGGCCTGGCCCGCATACTCGGTCACTGGGAAACGCTGCCGCCCTTGCCCCATGCACACAGAGGCTTGGCCTGCACTTGGGCACTGAAGGTGGCTCTGAAAGGTGCCAACTGTCCCCCTCACCTGCACAGATCCACTCCATGATCATGTCCTGGTGGTACCGCAGGTCCGTGTACACTGCCACATGAATCAGGGAGTCCCGAGGCCCAGCCAGCCTCCGCAGTGCCTCTCTCAGGACAGGGCCCATGCCCACAACCAAGATGGAGACTCCGTTGTCCCTCAGTTTCTGGGCAGGGACCGCGGCGTCCTCCACTCCTCTGCCACCTGTGAGCATCACCACGGCCTTGGGGACGCCGGGCCGGGCACCCCTCCGGATGGTCATCACATGGTCATGGATGTGCAGCAAGGCAGTGCCAGCTGAGCCCACCCCACCCAGGTAAGGGGCCTGGCTCATGGCCCGCAGCACAGCCGCACGAGTCATGTGGGTATCCAGCTCAAAGACAACCTGAACCCAGCTGCCATACACCACCAGGCCCACCTGCGTCACATCAGGATTCACATCAAACTGAAGGGTACAGCTTCTAAGGAAACTCTGCATGTGAGCAAAGTTCTCGGGGCCCACAGAGGCTGAGGCATCCAAAAGGAAGATGAGGTCCAGCGATTGGGCCTGGCAGCCTGCAGGAAAGAACAGAGGAGCCTGGTCTGGAGCCCCCAGCACAGCAGGCACTGCTTGGGTCCAGAAGGTGCAGGTCCAGGTCGGGCAGCCTGCCTGCTGCAGGTTCCAACCCCTGCAGGTTCCAACCCCTCAGCCTCCTCTTGATCACGGAATCCCTTTGACTCCTGGAATCCCACAATCTGAATGTCCAGCCAGACTGTTTCCCAGGCTTCTTGGCATTGAGGAGTGCCCACATATCCCAGTCCTGTCCAATGTGACATGACCAGAAATAATTGAGTTGCAAGTTGCCATTTTGAACTGTGTAAATCAACGTTGCCTGCCTTGTTCTTTTCCTCAATCTCTTCTCCCAGCCAAGTTTCAGGGTAGGAACCACAAGATCGCCAAGCCACCCTCCTGGCCGGTTAGTCTCTACGCTCTACGTAGAAGAAATAAACAACGATGCTGCAAGTCACTGCGCTTTGGGATTGGCATGGTGTCTTTAGTTGTGCCTTCAGCCAGAGCATGACAGAGCGCCCGCCACCTCCTGTCCCCTGCACGCAGGGCACCTGCTGCCCCATGTGCACCAAGCAGGTGGACGCCTGCCCTCAGTGAGCTGACAGTTATGGGGCGGAGATACAAACACAAATGGGAAGAGTGGTGTTGAGGGAGAAAGCGGGAAGTGGAGAGCTACCAGCTGGGGCAGCGACCCAGATGCGGAAGGAGGTGTCAGGAAGCTGGCCTTGCAGGTCGTAAGACAAGAGGAGGAAAAAGTCAGAAAGCAGTGCAACTGAGCACCGATTCACGAGACATTTGTCATGTGTGTACATGCGTGTGTGTGTACTGGGACTGCATTTCTCATGCCAAGTTGCCATGAGAGGTCGTGATGTTGCTCTGGGGGAGACTTGGAGATTCAGGCATCTTTGTAGATGACACCAGGAAACAAGAACAATAAACAGTAACGCCCCGATTTGTGGAGAGCTTGCTCTGTAATAAAGGTGTTGATAGTTTAACCCTAATGAATAGGAGCCTCAGAAGGTGCTATTAGAGTCGTTTCCTTGACAGATTGAAGTGACCCAACACGTGGCCAGAGAAAGAGGAGAGGTAAAGCTACCGCACAGGCACTGGGAAACACGAAGAACAGTTAAGTGGGAGCTCACCTGGCCGCGGCCGGCTGCACAGCTTCCCCTGCAGCTGGAGGACTTGGCTGAAGAGGTCCCGGGGGTCTGAGTAGATCACCGTGTGCCTCGGGCTGCCGGTGATCTCCTCCAGCTCCGCCCGCACGGCCTCGCTGCCCACGCCCAGCAGGAGCAGCTCTCGGGCCCGGGCATGGCGTGCGGGGCCAGCCACTTCGTCCTGGGAGCGCGACTCCGTGAGCAGCACCACCACCCTGCGCGGCCGGTCCTGGCCAGTCCTGGTGGCACTTCCAAAGCCACGCTCGGTGACCTGCCGCAAGGCGCTGCCAGTCAGAGTGGGTCCGGCACTGAAGGGAATGTGGTCCAGGCTCCTGACCAGGTCGGGCACGTCCTGGTACTCCCCAATGGGCACCACCACCACCAGCTCCCTGCTGTACCAGGCCACGCCCACGCGGGCCGGGGAGTCCTCGCTTAGCACGGCCTGGGCAAACCGCTTCACGAAGGCCTTTGCACGCATGAAGCCCTCCAGGCTGGTGCCCGCGGAGCTATCCAGCAGGAAGAGGACATCGATTCGGCATTCCAGGCTCAGCTTTGGGGCTGTGGGAGGCACAGCAACACCGCTAAGTTCAGCTCTGCCAGATGTACCAACACACCAAGTTTCAAATCCAAAAATTTGGAGCATCAACAGAGCTCCAAAAATTCTGTATTTTGGAGCACTTTGCATTTCAGATTTTCAGATAAGGGGTGTTCAACCAGTACAATCATTCCACACCGTTAAAAGCAAAGGGGGTTGGGGCTCCTTTATGGAAGAGAGAAGAAATGATTCTATCCAGAACCTGGACCAGTTTAGGCTGGCTTCAGCCTCCAGCCGGGCTCGGCTGTGCTCAAACATCAGGCAGTGGGCATTCTAGGGCTAAGTCGGGAGCTCCTGTCCTGCCTGGAGCTCTGAAACCCAACGGATTTATTCCAGGAGCACTTGGATGAGGGCTGTGCCATGAGTCAGAGGGGCACTGGGAAGACCAATGGCTCTCAAAGGCCAAGGCAGGTTCGTACCCAGGAGTGCCAATGGTGGCAGACCCGTTCCTTGGTGGTCAGACTCGGGAGCCCCATACATACGTACCACAGTTGGCTTCTCCTGCAAAGGCCGGTGGGCAGAGGCAGTGGTATCTGTCTGGCCCTTCTGGAACACACGTGCCTCCATTTTGGCAGGGATGGACATCACAGGGGCCTAGCGGGGAGATGCCTGTTAATGACCAAGCGCTGTCCACCAGCATGGGAAGCAAGAGGGCCACCTACCAGGACCCAGTTCCTTCCTTCCCACCATGGTCCATCAGAAAACCAGCTTCAGCTCCTGCAGCAGAGGAGCAACACACACAGAGGAAGAGCTGGCTGTGGCCCATGATGACACACAGGGGACAGCCCGGTGGGTCCCAGCTCCTGGCTCGGATTCTAGAGACACAGTGTCATCTCCCCATGGCTGCTGGGAAGGCCCGGAGGAGTTCAGGGCGGTCATGATGACCAAGCTGCCAACATGCAGCTCTCAGTAGCATTACACTGGCAGCCTAGATGTCTCAGGGACTCAGGGTGCTAGGGGAGGGGGCGCCTGTGAGCTCCGAGTTGTGTCTGAGGTGGTTCCTTATGGCCGCTGTGGCCTGGCACAGAATGATGAGCCTGCATATCTTGTCATAGTCAGGTGGCTTAGCAATGAACTTGGCCAGCTTCATGATCATGGGCACCTAAATCCCTGAAGTGTCAGTGTCCTCGCTGTCCCTGATGACCGAGCCTGCTCCGCACTGCAGCTGTGTGCATGAAATGACCTTATCCCTGGGAGCTCAGCACGAAGCAGTCCTCCCTGGACAGGCGATCCAGGGTTTGCTTTCAGATGCCGAGTTCAAGTGATGCAGAGTCCACAGCGAGTGCCAACAACGGGCCCCTTCTGGAGTGTGTGATCTGCAATACCCTAAGGTCCATGTGTGAGCTCCTGACCAATCTCCTTATCAATCATTACCAAATGCAGTGGGTACAACATGAACTCCCTTCCAGGGTCACTGAAAATAAACAGGGCCTTCAGGTGTGCATGCATGCCAAGGACGTGGACAGGGTAGTGACCAGTGGCTGCTAACTTCTATCCTTTTACCTAAATGCAAGCTGTTACTGGCAGGTCACACCATTGTCACTGAAGGGTAGACATTGCCAATGAAAAAAATACTAAGACTAACGCAGGGCTTCTAGCCGGGCCTGCTGTCTGGGCTGCAGCGGCGATGTGGAAACAGCGGGCGGACGGATGGACAGTAGCATCTGACCGAGCATCTGTTGCATGTGCTGAAGCAATGGGGAAGCCACAGTGGTGGCCACCCACACACTCTGGGAACCTCCAGCTCTCAGGTCAGTGGATGCTTCAGACCCCTGGGAAGGAGCTGGGATGGTCCAAGGCAGAATCATGCTAAGTGATGCCTAATGCTTCCAAGGGCACTGCCCAGTGGTCTTCACTCAGCTGTGGTGGTTCATAACCGCCATTGTGTGAAGGAGGAAAACGTGGATTCCAGGTTATGAGTACCCACTGTACAAGGGAGGCAACACTGAGCCGTCTACAGAGCTGCTCCTCACTGCAGCCTCTCGCCAATGCAAGGAACACTGGCTAAGGGGGCTGCAATTCTGACGCTGTCTCCCATCCTCTGTGCATGGATACTCCTGAGCAAGTGCAGGATGCATACAGCATGAACACCGTCTGCCCAGAGAGCAGTCCCAGCCCCATCCCCTGACTATAAACACCCCGTTGCACACCAGCCTGGGTCCAGGAAGAGCTGGTGAGCCCAAGGGGCAGATCCTACCTGGGCAGATGGTCCTGTAGCAGGTGGCAGGGTGAGACAGGAACACTCTCTTCCAGCTGCAAGAATCCAAGGAGATAGAGTGATAGGAAGACAAAGAATTTCAAGGGAAGGCAGAAACCCAGAGATGCCTGACAAACACTGAAGCTGACGCAATGTCCCTACTCAGAGGTGGGGCCGGACAGACTTGCTAATGGCCCCTTTTTGCGTCTACCCTTCAGTCTGCACATAGACTAGGGACAGTTTCCAACTACTCAGACACAGTTGGAAGAGATGAGGGCAGCTGGCTACCACCGTTGTTAAGTAACGTTCCTTATACGACTCCTTTCTGAGGCCCTCAGTGCAGGGAGGGAGTGGCAGGAATAGCGGGACACCAGCTGTGTGACATCAGACGATATCCTCACCTTCTCTGGTCTTCAGGTCCCAGGGTTTTCAGCTGCACCCCTGATGACATGGTAAGGGGAATGAGTAGCCTTCCCTTCTCCCCAGATGTGCTGCTTCTCTGGTCAGCACGTGTGTTGACCGCTACAGCCAGCACACTCCACAACGGCTCAGCTGTGTCTGAGCACAGATACCCAAATAGCCACCATTTCCAGGGGCGGGGCTTCCTGTGCCAGGTGTGCGCTTTGCTACCTCGGGTCCCATTGCTACTAGAAGAGCTGAGGCTGTCCTCCTCCAGGTGGAAAACGGGCCCGGGGGGCCGAATTGGGCTACCCAAAGTCACACAGTTACTGGACCATGGCAGAGCTGGGACCCATAATCCTTCCCCACACTGGATTCTGAAGCCACACACTATGCCCTCTGGGTCTCTCTGCCATCCATGTCTCTGGGGTGATGGGCACAGCTGTATGAGGAATAGCTACTCCCCAAGAGGGCAGAACGACACCTCCTTTTGTTGCTTGGAGCTTTGGTATGCCTCACCCCCACTAAGGAAACTCTCGGGTTTAGGTTTGCTAAAATTCTCAAACTAGAGTTTGTACCAACAAGATTCCATGCTGGGCTGCCCACCGCAGGAGCTGGTTAATTGGCTCACCTCTGTGTCAGGGTCTTCCTAGGGTAGAACAGGCTAAAAATCAAGTCAGCTAAGACCTCAAGGGGCTGGCCTGGGTGTTTGGCCTGGGTGGTGAAGATGCTGCTTGAGAAATCAGCATCTAATGGGGGTGCTCCTGGGTTCAATCCCCAGCTCCAGCTCCTGACTCCACATTCTTGCTAGTGTAGACCCTGGGAGGCAATGGGAATTGCTCAAATGATTGGTTCCCTGCCACCTGCTGGAGTACCCGAGTTGGGCTTTCACCTCCCCAACATCAAATAGCCCAACACCATGATGGCTCAGGCCAGCCACAGGCCACCTCGTCCAACTGCTCTAAACCAGGGCTTCCTGAGGGCAGGGACTGTGCCTGCCTTCTCATGGCTGGGCTCACATCAGTCCCTCAGACTGCTCACTGGGGAAAGAACAAATGCCACTCCCTTTACTAGCGTGCTCTGGTGCTGAAAAAAGCTAGCCTCTGGCAGCCTAGGCATGACCCAAAACCACAGGTCCGGTTTCTTGTGACCCAGTGCAGGTCACAGCCATTCAAAGGCAAGTCACTCCAGATCTCTGGATTCTTTCACTCTGTTTCTTGCCCCCATGACACACCATGTACTCCTTGCCGCTGTGGGACCCCAAGGCAAAGACACAGTGGGTTTGAGAGGCACCATGTGGCAGATGGCCTGCAGCAGCAAGGAGTGGACCAGGGAGGGCAAGGGAGCAGGTGCAGGGGAGCACCTGAGTTCTACTCCCCAGGAACCCATCATCCCTCCCCACCTGCAGCAATGCTCAAAGGAAGGCATTATGACACAACAACGGCCTGAGGACAGCTTCTGGCTCCTTGGCAGACTTCCAGAGCCCCTGTGGGTACCTCACCGTTCGCTGTTCCCCTCCCTCTGATCTGTCCGGTATCACAGTGCCGGGCTCTGTTCCCCTTTCCCACCGGACTGCCTGAGACCCTACGGACGCACCTGTAGAAGGGACAGTGTGCAGCCATCACAGCGTCCGTCCGTCGGGAGCCTCTCCAGCAGGGGGCGCTGCCAGCGAGCTCTCTGACCGTCTGCAACGTTCTGCGTTCACAGGGGTGGGCCTCCACCCGGCAGTCTGATGGAGATGGAGAGAGAGTGTGGGAAGGGCAAGACCTCTCACCTCCTCCCCTCACCCCTGCTTTTCAGAGCAGCAGCTCTGGGAGTTCCAGCCCTGATCTCCAGGCTGCCTCTCGGGGCAGCCCTCCAGTGGGGGCAGTCTCTGAGCAGGCCCAGCCGCCACGGCTATAAGGCCTGTGCACACTTCCAGGGCTTTGGAAACAGCTCTACTCTAGCTCTGGGTGGACCTGAGCAAAGACCACAGAAGACAAGGAGCTTGGCCCATGTCCAGTGCCTTCCTATGCTCGCCGATCAAGGCAGCAGGAGTGGATTCAAGCTAGGGGACGAGGAGGATCCTACAAATGTGGGTCTCAAGCTGTAGGTCCTTTTTCCTGCCCCACTACCCTCCACAGAGCCAAGCTCAGAGTGCCTAGCTGGGAAACCCGGAGTGGGATGCTGGGAGACAGAACACAGCCCAGGACACAGGTTATCAGAACCCAACATTCCCTTCCCCACCCCACTTCCCACTTTGTTCCGGGTAAGCCTGCGAGGCTGGAGGGCCTTACCTGGAGCATGGATGGTGCACAGGGCAGAATGGGCGAGGGTGCTGAGCAGGCCGTTGGTCGCGTCATCCGCTTGTTCTGCCAACAGCACGTGTTGCTCCCAAGGCTCGCTGGCCAGGGTGTGCAGCTCCTCCCACCTGCCAGGAAGCTCCAAGGGCTCACCAGGCCACACCCCAGAGCTCCTCAGCCTCCTTCACTTTCTTCCAGCTACACGCTGGTCATTGAGGATTGTTCCTTTCTGAACCCACTCCCCAGGGGATCACTTGTAGGTTGAGCCTGGTTCTAGTCCCAGTTGCTCCACTCCAACCTAGCTCCCTGTTGATGCACCTGGGTGGGCAGGCAGATGATGGCCCAGGTCCTGGGGCTCCCACCATGCACGTGGAAGACCGACCTGAATGTTGCCACTATTTTGGAGTAAATGGGCAGATGAAAGATCTCTCCCCATCACTCTGCCTTGCAAATGAATGAATAAATCTTTCTGAGAAAGAGGTCTTTCATACATTGGTTCATTGCCCCCATTGGCTAGGGCTGGGCCATGCTGAGGCCAGGAGCCTCTTCAGGTTCTCACATGTAGATGCAGGGATTCAAGCACACTGGTGATCTTCTACTGCTTTCCTAGGCACATTGGCAGGAAGCTGAATCAGAAGTGAAGCAGCCAAGATTTAAACCAGCACCTATATGGAATGCCAGCATTGCAGGTGATAGCTTAACCCAGTGCACCACAGCACTAGCCTCTCTCTTCACTCCCAAGTCTTACGGCCACGTGTCTGCTGAAATATCAAGAACACAGCTCCACTCCCACGTCCTTCCCCCAACTTTATCTTTCCCATGTCAGTAAATGGTCCCAACAGTCCCTCTGGGGCTTAGACCCAACCATGCCCTCCCCTCCAGTTCACCAGCTGTTCCACTGCTCTGCCTTCATAGCGCACCCATGCTGCTTCCCTTTAACTCTTGCATAAAGTGTAGCAAAGACCTCTCAACCCATTCCTTCGCCGCTGCCCCATCTATGGCCTCTCCCAACCCCCACCCCTGCTCCAAGCAGCCTGTGTGAGCTTCTAAAGATGTCATGTCCCTGCTCAGAATGCTCCAAGGCCTCCCACCGAAGCCACAGTGAACTCCCACATCCTTGCCATATATTGCAGCCAAGTCTCGGCAACCAAGACCCCTCATCTCACCCAACGTATTTCTCTACCCTTCTCCCTTCACTTGCTGGGCACCAGCCATTCCCCAGCTGCCTTGCTGCTGTCACACACGCTGAGTCTGCAATGGCCTCATGGCCTGTGCACCTGCCATTCACCTGATGCTCTTGCTCCTCTCCCTGCTACCTTGAGGGCTTGTTTCTTACCTCACCCAAGTCTCTGCTCAAAGGTCAGCTCCTCAAAGTCCTTCCAGATCCCCACAGCTAAGAGAGCTGCCCTCTCCAGACCCCATCTCATTTTCAACCCTTTATGCTTTGAGTTCTATTTTCACCTGAAATTACGAGGGCTCTTGAAGACAGTGCAAAAAGCATACTACGAAAAGACCATGCGTGCATTTCAAATTTTTTAGGCAGTCAAGTAAATTTGTCTTTTGACTGCATCTTCCTGCAAGCTTTCTGGAGTACACTTGTACAGGTTTATTCATCCACTTGTTATCCAATTCCTTTCCTAAATGAAAGCATCGAGAGTGCGGGGACTGGGGCTTGCACAATGGCTCAACTGATTGATCTTCTGCCTACAAGTACCAGCATCCATATGGGCACTGGTTCATGTCCCAGCTGCTCCACTTCCGATCCAGCTCCCTGCTTATGGCCTGGGAAAGCAGCAAAAGATGGCTCCTTGGGCCACTGAAGCCACATGGAGGACTTGGAAAAAGCTCCTGGCTTTTAACAGACTCAGTTCCAGCTATTGCAGCCACTTGGAAAGTGAATCAGCAAATGAAAGATCTTTCTCTTTTCCTCTCCATAAATCTGCCTTTCTAATAAAAAATATTTTTTATAAATGAAGGACCTTTGAATTGTTGTCTCCATAACCCAGGAACACAAAACAGCTCCTGGCATGAGGAACACAACCTGTATGACCGAGACAACAATAAACTAAAATTAAGAGAATCATCGAAGAGCAGCATTTGCAGGCACAGCACCTCAAATCCTCTCACAGTAACTAGCGACCTGCAGAGTGCATGTCGTGTCCATTGTGGGGGTGGTTTAAGAGTTGGAAGGACCTATGTCCTCCAGGATCTGGACATATGCAGCTGGAGAGGAAGGGAGAGACATAGACCCCGTACCCCTGTTCCCCAGTATGGGCTGTGACATGGGCTGACTAGAATCTGGTGGACCAGAGAACCATCCTGGTCCTGAGCTGCCCACCTGCCCTGGGGAGCAAGGTGGCGCCAGGAGTCTGCAATGTTACCCACATTAGAGTCGAGTGCCTCCCACCTGCAGCTAAAGGTTCAGACGAAGCAAGAGACGCCGCAGACTTCCCAGTTCCCAAGGATCAGGATGTCCTGGGCATCAGGCAAAACCGTAAAGAGAGGCTGAGACAGGTGCACGCAAGGCCCAGGATGGCTTCTCTGGCTCCCTTCTCTTGATGCAGTCCCTGGAACAGCTGCATGAGGGCTGATCCAGGATGAAAGGTCTTACCTGGGAAACCGGACCCCCACAGCAAACACAGTGATGCCCCTCTCTTTCAGCTGCTTGGCCGGCAGTGCCACCTGTCCCTGGGACTTCCCATCTGTGACAATGATGAGGAGCTGGGGCACAGAGCCATTTCTGCCCCCGGGGAGGCCACCATGCAGAAGGTATTTCAAAGCGAGGCCCGTCTCTGTGCGCCCACCTCTGACGATACACACAAGAGAAAAAGAAACAAGAAAAGTCAGTAAGGCTGGGACGAGAGCTTGGAGTCAGCAGGAAAGTGCATCGTCAGTCAAACAGCAGTGTTTTCTGGCCATTGAAACTCCACCACCTGACTCCCGGCAACAAGAGACAGAAGTGAGCATGCTCTGTGGATCTAGGGAGCGCCTTGCCCGTCTCTGCTATATAAAATGACAATGATGCTCACGGTGCACATGGGCTGTTTCCACCTGCCCTCCCCTCTCAGGTCCCATGATGACTCTGGGCTGGCAATGCCTGAGTGGTGTGAGTGCCCCCAGATCAGGGCAGGTGACAGCAGTCACAATCCTGTCCCTCCCCTCCAGGATGCTGCTGGTTCCCTATTTGCTGGGTTTTAATGCTCTCTACTTCCCTAGGTCAGCCCAATTCTGGGACTGCTGCCTGACTTTAGAATCCCAGAACAATATCACTACCAAATCTTGAAACAGGAGGCCCAGAAAGAGACATGCCAGTTTCAAACATCAGCTGAAAACGAACATAACTGCATGGCAATGCATTCGGGGCCACCAAGCTGTACACCATCCACGCTGCAGTCAAACCTTTGGGCAGGTGCCAGGCAGTCCATGTTAGCATGAGCGACAAGATACAAAGTGAAGGAATCGTCTCAGGAACTAGCTCACTGTACATACATGGGGAAAAGCTGGTGGGAGCATCATCCTAAGGCAGGCGGCCCAGACTGTAATGATGGAGGCACATTTAGACTGATTAATTATACTCCAATTCTAAAGACAGCATGCGCCTTTAATCAGCCCTCACATCATTCTAATGTGCTCTCCACTTAAAGCAACACCTTCCAAATGATTCAGATTCAGGCAAACCACGGAACAGATTTTGGAAACTACTGCATCAGAAAACCACTGTAGGTACAGAAAACTCAAAGCTTTCAAAAGCAAACAGACCAAAGCCCTAGAACCAACCTCCATCTTCCCCTTGGGAGATTGATAAAAGCACTGTGGCGGATAGATCCTTTCACATTATGATACCATCATTAAACAAATCAACATGAAAAAACATCTTTACACAAAGTGTGCATCAAATAAGTTAAAAAAAAACCAATTCTGTTCTATAAGCTATGCTGAAATATGACTATAGTTTAAGACATCAACAAAGGATAGAAGAGGCTTTAAGCTCAAGTGATGGAGACCTGTAGCGTTCATGAGAAAACTAGAGATGAGTGTGGAAACTTCAGCTTCAGAGAACCAGGGTCAAGGCACCAGGAGATGAGTGTGTGGGGCGCCCAGGCCACAGCTGCCAGAGACCATAAACTTCTAGTGGATCACTCAGCAGCAGCTGTGTCTTATCTGCTCTTACGTCCTCCTGGGAAGCAACAACGGGAAGCTTCACTGTAATATTTTCTAAACTTCTTGCAAAGTTTCAACATGGTCTTTGTCAGAATACCTTCTTAAGCATCTCAAAGCATGATCTGTGGGGGTAGAGGGTAAGGACGGCCTTGATCTGGAAAGGCAAGTGTCCTAGGTGTAGGCAGTGATGCCAACCAGACCAGCATTGAAAATTTCAGTGCAAAGGAAAAAAAAAAAGCGCCCTGGTGCTGTGGGAGGGCAGGAGCCCTCACTCCCATTCAGCCGCATTCCTCAGCACTGATTCACGGTGCCTGCTCTTATTTCCCGTGACCTGAGTGACCCCACCACTGCAGCCAACATTCAGTTTCTGTCCCCTTGCCTCCTCCATGGTCCCCTGCAGCCATCCCGGGAAGAACTTTCCCAGCCATACGAAGAGGCTTCTTCTGCCCCAGGGTCTCCCTGTTTCTCCATGTGTCTGAGTTTCATGTTGTGAACAACTTTACCCAGCCCGTAGGATTCTCAGCACACCTGCAATGAGACTGATGACCGAGGGGGATGCAGGGTTGGGTGGGGCCCGCTGGACTAGCTGCATGCCCCCCAGTACCCTGGTCAGACCACATGTGGCTTCTGTGTAAAGTAAGTGGCAGACCAGCCACTAGACAATCACCCGTGTGTCTCCCTGTGCCAAATCCTGTGCAATTTGTTTAGTATTTCAGATGAGAGCAGGGCTGAATATCTGCTTATCTCCTATCCGTCTCTCTGCATGTCAAATAAATGATAAGAACTGTTTTAACGGGGTGATACAAAAGGTTACTTTCTGGGTCTTGCTTCTTTCATCTTAGCATAGTATTTTCCAGGTCCAGCCATGTGATAGCATGTAGCAACATATCATTCATTTTCATGGCTGAGCACTATTCCAGTGCATAAATATATCATATACCTGTTTATTCATCAGTTGGACAACTGCGCTGTCTCCATTCTGGAGTGATTTCCATTCGTGCAGGTCTCAACATCAATGAACAAGCCTTAGAGTGGCATATGTTCATGGTTCTCTTAGAGAGGAACTGCTGGGTCATATGGCATTTCTGCGTAACATGTTTGAGAATATGCAAACTGCTTTGAACATGGCTATGTTACTCTACAGTGCGTCATGGTTCCAATTTCTCCACATCTTTATCAACACCTGCTATTGTCGTTCATTTTAGCCTGACATTGCATTGTGCTTCTGAGTTGTATTTCTTTTATGTCATGTATTTCTTTCATGTTTTCATACACTTACTGGTCATTTGTTTACCATCTTTGGAGAAGCATCTATTTCAAAGGTTGCTTTTGGAGATGATGAAAATGTTCAAAATTACATTATGGCAATAGTTGTATAACTTGTGACTCAAAACCATTGAATTATAGTCATTAAGTCTGTGAACTCCATGGTGTATAAATTATAATTCAACAAAGCTGCTAGAGTTGTGCTCAACAAGCATAGGGAACAGGGTGGAGTGGGGGTGGGGATAACTCTTGCAGGTGCAGATCCTTGAGTGTCTCTGCCCTGGCCAGAGAAAGACTCAGTTAACCTGGCAGGAAACCCAGGCAACTGCATGAACACACTCCCCTGCACAATCCTGACACACGTGGCTTTAAAAGCTCTCTCCATTTGTGCTGCTTTGAGTGTCTGGGCTCAACCAATTCTCAAAGAGTCCAGTGGCAGAAGACTCCTAGGGAAGAAGGAAAGGCCAGTGGTGTGCACAAATGGAGTTTAAAATTAGTGGTTTTTTTTTTCCTTTTGTGCTTTCCTGCACATGACTTACCCCATTCCAGACACTCATGGGCAGAGGAAATGGCTGGGATGAACAGTCTGTGATCACATCTTTAGGGATCTCCAGAGTCTCTCTCAAGACTATATGGCTTTGAGAGGTCTTGCTGTAGCCTGAAGAGTACCAGGGACAGACAGACAGGCTTGTGGCTGGAAGAACGACCTCAGGGTTTGGGTACTTGGCAAGAACAATGACCATGAATAACTTTGACCATGGACCCCAGCATGATTTCAGGGGACACAAGTTTGTGGGGCAACAGAAACCAGAGTAGATTGGAGATCAAAGTGTCAAGTGTCAAGTGGCCATCGATGTCTATCTGGCGAGGAATTGTGGAGGACGTGGTATACATAGCAGGTGCATGTATATGTACACTCATAGATGGACAAATGCATGTCCATAACACATACATGATGTGCATGTATACATTTAAACACAAATACATGTACACCTGCATCATCCATGAGAAAAAAAAAGGCACACACACATACCCGAGGAGTCATGACACTACCTCATCCATGTCTTCAAAGGGTGTGTGTGTAGAGAACTTACAGTCTCCCAACCACTGCAAGCTCTTCACCCTGGTCTGGACTTTTCATCAGGCCTCTCTCACAGCCAACTCATAACCACACAGAACATCAGCAAATGCTATTTTTTTCTTTGCAGTTGAATTCTCACAGTATCACTTTGAAGAGGCATAGCCTGGAAAAGGGAATTCTTGCCCCTGCCCCTGTGCATAGCTGGGGGCCTAGAAATTGTCCCTTATGTGAGACCAAGGGCAGGGTCAGACTAACAACAGTTAGTTTCATCCTGACCACAAGGGTGTCTGTCCATACATACTTGAAAACCATCCTTTTGATTTCTGCCTTCACTTCCTGTCTGGTGGGAAACGCATCCAAGGGGAATTCCAGATGAGGAGCAGAACCAAACTGCAGGGCTCCCACTCGGACCTGCAGCAGGAAAGAGGACCCAGAGCCCAAGACAAAGTCAAGTCAAAAATATTCCCAAGAGAAAAACAAAGATAAGATGAATGACCCATCCACCCACTACTCAACAAACAGTGCCAGTCACACCAAAAGATCCGCAGATCAGTGAAAGATTCTAGAAGGATCTGTTAAAGCTGCTGTGTCCTGCACTGTCAACTCCAGTTTGATTTTTTAAAAAAAGTATTTATTCCTATTTGAAAGGAACATTTAAGATAGAAGAATAGACAGAGAAAGATCCTCCCTCTATTGATGGAGGCAGAGCTGAGCTGATAAGTCAGGTGCCTCACCCAGGTCTCCCATGTGTGCAGGGGCACAAGGACCTGGGTCATCCTCTGCTGTTCTCCCAGTCACAAATAGGGAGGATTGGAAATGGAGTGGCTGGGACTCTTGCAGGCAGAAGATTAGCCTGTTGAGATATCATGCTGCCTTCACTTCAATCTTTTGACCCACAGCTCCCAAGGCAATTACCCTGGACAGTTCACCTGAGCTGCACCATCTCCACGGCAGGGATGCTGCTTCCCTGGAGCTCTCAATAAATCGAAAGGGTATTCGAGATTTAAATGTAAGAAACATAGTCATGCACATTGGTCATTCAGTAGCATGTTATTTAACTTCATGGCACTGTAAATTTTTTTAACTTTATTCCTGTTGCTGATTTTGTTTTATGGCTTTTAATTTAAGGAAATGCATAGTAACTGTATAAATGAGAGACTATCATATCCAGATGTAAAGATACATGCAGTATGCATTTCTACTTCCAAATCAAAGATGGACTCCCAATGAGACTGTTAAACATATCTCGACAATGGGATGCTGGACTCTGCCATTGTCTATACTAGCAATCTCAGGACACACTTAAAAAGCAGAATGATAGACTTATGACTGCTTATGAAGGACTGTACTACTGTGGTGACATAAGGGACATCATGTGGTGGAAGGGAATTTAGGAGAGGGTAAGGGAAATCCCAGAGCCTATGGAATTGCGCCATAAAAAAACTAAAAAAATCTTTAAAAAAGAAACCTAGGGTCCAGAGTGATAGCATAGCAGCTAAAGTCCTTGCCTTGAACATGCAGGAATCCCACATGGGCTCTGGTTCTAATCCTGGCAGCCTCGCTTCCCATTCAGCTCTCTGCTTGTGGCCTAGGAAAGCAGTTGAGGATGGTTCAAAGCCTTGGGACCCTGCACCTGTGTGGGAGACCTGGAAGAGCTCCTGGCTCCTGGCTTCTGATCAGCGCAGCTCCAGCCATTGTAGCCGCTTGGGGAGTGAACCATCGGAGGGAATATCTTCGTCTCTGTCTCTCCTCCTGTTTGTATATCTGCCTTTCCAATAAAATATAAATAAATCTTAAAGAAAGAAACCTAGACGTGAAAATCCTATGTCAACTCTTGGGAAATCACTTTATCATCAGAATGAAAAGGAGAGTGGAAGGGCAAAAGATTTAAAATCTATAAGCCTTACAAAGGAAAGGGGAGCAAATCTGACTAAATTGGTGGAGGGAGGGAGCAACTTCAACAGAACCAAACACATCTTAACACAACTAAAAATGAAGGCGCACTGGACAAATTATTTGCAACTCTCATTGGAGAAAAAGTTTCCTTGGAATCAGTATGTTGAAGACCAGGGATCCAAGAGGAAGCAAAGGACACCAGCAGAGGGCACAGCAGGACGTGCAGAGGGCACAGCAGGACGTGCAGAGGGCACAGCAGGACGTGCAGAGGGCTCTTTCATGTGGGGCAGGCAGGTGCTTGACCTGCTCACACAGAGATGCCATTTGTTTCACCTCAGTGTAGCCAGATGTCAGATACAACGATGTGGTAGCAACCAGCACCCTCTACCACAGCTGGCAAGAATGCAAACTGGCTTAGCATCTACCCAGGGCAGTATGTCAGTGTTTGCTGAAAATCAGTAACTGGGGACCAGTGTTGTGGTCTAGCAAGTTCTCGTCTTGATACTGGTATCCCATTTGAGCACCGGTTCAAGTTCTGACTACTCCTGATCCAGCTCCCTGCTAATGTGCCTGGGAAGACAGTTGAGGACGACACAGGGGCTTGTTACCCAAGCACCTGCTATCACGAAGGAGATCCAGATGGAGATACTGGGTCTGTGCTTCAGCCTGGCTGAGCCCTGGCTGTGAGGATACTGGGACATGTCATATTCTCATTCTCTTTCTCTCACTCCCTTCCATCCATCTCTGTCACTCTGCCTTTCAAATAAATCAAAATGTTAAAATACAGGGCCACTGGAAATTTATCCTACAGATACATTCCCCAAGATGACACATTTACCAGGTCTGAGTACATTTGCAATAATTAGAACTTGGTAAATCCTTATGTCTGAAAAATGAATTACCTGTAGCGCATACATATATGGAAAGATTTCTAAGATACCATAAAGAGGAAAATGCAAGAGAAGAACAATGCATGTGGTGGGCTGCCCTTTGCATAAAAGGGAGGGGATAATACGTGTATCCTACTAACATTGGCGTGAAGTAATTCTGGAAGGAGATGCAGGAAAACAGGCAGGAGTGGTTTGAGGAAAGAGGAGAATGCGTGGGTGGGAAGAATACACCTCCCTGTGCATATTGCTATGAAGGCACATGAGTGAATTACTTGAGAAGAAAAAAAAAACCCACACAACTCCCTACAGACCAACAGCTGGGTGTATGGACTGGTGTTAAACAGGAAATGTGCAACTTGAAAACAAGAGTCCAACAGCTGAAATCAATAGTTAAGGCATTTCGTTTAATTGATGGTTTGCAAGCAAAATAGTTGCCTTTTATCTTGTGTCTACCCTGGGCTCAGAAGCCAGCCTCTTGTTCTTCACACACTGTAATCACCCCTGTGCAAATCAGAGGCAGGAAGCGGAGTCTGCAGCTTTGAAAAAGAAGGCTTCAAACACCTTAAAATCCAACTCAACAGCAGGGAATCCAGAGAAAGCCTTAATTTTCAGCTACATGACAATTTCTCCTTGAGAACCACAGCATTGAGAGGTGCCACCAAATCCCTTGGATGCAACAAAAAGACACAGCTGCAAAAGCGTGCAATTTGAAGTCACCAAAGGGATGGCCCAGGGCAAACCCTTCACCCAGCATGCCGATGGACTCAGCACTTTGGTCAGGAGCCCCAGTGCTCACTTACTCATCCAAATAGACTCCTAAGTCCTCTGTTCCCCCCATCTAGCTGTTAAAAGCCCCCCTCAGGGTTAGTGCATTTCTGATTTCCTGAATGCCTACATTCTACTCTCTTAAGAAAAGTCATTCTAGGGGCCAATGTTGTGGCACAGCATGATAAGCTGGCATTACAGGCACCCCAAATGGACATTGGTTCAAGTCCTGTTACACTTCCAATTCAGCCCCTTGCTAATGCTTCTGGGAAGGCATCAGGAAATGGCCCAAGTCCCCTACCTCCACATGAGAGATGCAGCTGGAGCTTTAGGCTCCTGGCTTCAGCCTGGTCTACCAGCTCTTGTAACTATTTGGTGAGTGAACCAATCAGATGCGAGAGCTTTGCCTTTCTAGTAAACAGATCTCTGCAAGATAAATGGCCATTCTGAATCCTCTTTCATATAAAAATGATAAGCAGCTTCTCTTATCTATGGATGTTCCCAGGCTTCTCACTGTCCTTATCATAAGCAGTGTCTGCTCGACCAGTATCTGAAGATCAGCCCCAGCACTCGGCACTACAGCCTAGATGTGGTCTAGCAACACTGTTACGGAGTGTGAGAGATCACACCCGACACAAGTGTAGGATGTTAGGAGGAGTCTTTGTTGCCCAAGCTTAGCGAGAGCAGCTTCCACTACACTCCAGGAACTACTGAGCCGTGCACCCTCCAACCAGATGGAGAGTTGTACAGGACGAAGTTTCCACACATTCAATTAAGTGGCAGGAAGGGAGCTTCTGAAGCCCCAAGTTTCCCTGTGGTTTTATTCAACTAAACTAGCACAATAGGAGGCAGGACGGGCCAGGTGCTTTTCCACACTGTCAATTTACTTGAATGGCACAGGAGGCAGGAGGGACCAGAGCAGACTGGACCTGACAAGCAGGTTCTAGCCATGAATTGGCTGCACCCAATCACAACACTGAGATTAAGCTCCATGAATTCAGGGTGTCTGCTGCCCACAACACCAGCCAGAAAGTTTCTTGTGATGGCTTTCTTAACCTCCCTGCAGCACACACTGCCACAATGCTGGCTATCCATTTGTTGTGTGGTAGTGCAGAAAGCCACCTGCTAGGAGGGAGACAAAAGGCCCAACAGAGCAAATTTTGGGCTCAGGGTCAAGAACCTCAATTCTTCCACAGTTAGCCATCTCCTGAGACTGCCATGTGACCCCAGGCAGTTGCTTACCCTCCCTGAGCATGTTTCCTCATCTCCCAAACACCAAGTCAACAGTGTCTGACCTTTGTACCACTTCCTCTGTGTAGAGCTACCGCAACTTCACAGGGACTCCTTTGGGCGCAAGGGCGATGGAGATCCAGCAGCTCTCGTACCAGATTGAATGGTACTGGCCACAGTAACTATTGATGACTATGAAAGACTGCCCTTGGTCCAGGGCAACGTGCACCTGCTACCCAGTGTCATGCCCTTCTAAGAGACCACCTGGTCCTCTTAAGGTCACATTTGCTTCTAAATCCTAGAGTTCGTGAGGCTTGCCTCCAAAAATAGCATTTCCTGTCTTGATCTGTAAGTACCTCATCTTGTTTTCAGGTAACTATAGCTTTCCAGACCAAAGTGTTGCTTTTTTTTTTTTTACTTGTTTTTTTGAGTAAGTTCACAAGGTTGAAAACCTACAGGTTGGAAACATCTGTACATCTATCTCTCCTTGAATGTGTGCCTTGTCTGCTCAGTTCCCTATCAATGGGAGGTCACTCATAAGTCCCTCGGTGTGCATGGAAAGACAAATACAGACTCAAAGCCACATCTTCTGCACACCATGCACAACTTTCTTTTTCTACGTAGCAGGTTCTGGTATCTTTCCATGCAGGAGTTTGCTCTTTTAGTATAGGAGTGCCTGCCATGGACTTGCCTCTCCCCTGCCAAGGGACACCTGGGCAACGTGAAATCATATACAACCATAAATACTGCTGCGACAGACACTATGTGGATGTCACTTTGCATGGGTGGGAGTATCAATAGATCAATAGAAAAAGCTCCTGGAAGCAGATCAAGGGGTCTAAGCCTACATCACTTTCACGGAGGCCAACGTACTGTTCCCACAGAGACTGTGAGGGTTTCACCTCCCCCCGCCCATCTCCCTGCCACCTGTGACACATGAGAATTCCCGTCTCCTGCAGATGTGTTCACCCAACTTTGGACTTTTGCTGACCAGGAAATGAAATACTGGTATGGCAAGGAGGAGGCTCACTACTACCTGGACTGGCACTGGCCCTGGGCATCTTCACACACCCATCCAGGCAACATCTGTGCTGACCACCTGCTGTTTTTTTTCTTAAGATTTATTTTTATTTCTTTTGGAAAGGCAGATTTACAGAGAGGAAGAGAAACAGAGAGGAAGATCTTTCATCTGATGATTCCTGAAGTCAGGAACTTCTTCCAGGTCTCCCACACGGGGGCAGGGTCCCAAGGCTTTGAACCGTCCTCAACTGCTTTCCCAGGTCACAAGCAGGGAGCTGGATGGGAAGCAGGGCTGCCAGGATATGAACCAGCACCCATGTGGGTGGGATCCTGGCACGTACAAGGCAAGGACTTTAGCTGCTAGGCTTCTGCGCTAGGCCCTGACCACCTGTTCTTCTGTGGGATTGTTCAAACACCTCTTTTAGAAACTAAGAAATGCCTGTGCTGGCTGCCCGTCCTGGGGCCAGAGTGGTGGCTCTGCTGTGAACACGGCAGGTGGGAGGTGAGCACCATGGGCAGACTCCAGGCTGCTGATGGACTTGCACTTTGGGTCTGCTCAGCGGGTTCACCCTGTCACACTGTTCTACACACACCACTTCTCATTTCAGTGAGAAACCAAACCCGGGTATTCACTCCTGTCCTATCATGTGGATACACAGTGGGATAAGTCAGCCAGACTCTTCCCTTGGACTGCTGTGATTGGTCAAGGCATTATTGTGCGACTTTAGCCTGTCCAATCAGAACCTTCCCTGGGACTTTTTTTTTTTCTTGGCTCTACAAGGAAAGAAGTCTTCTGTTTTCTTGAAAGACAATGCAGGGACACTTTCACCTTGTGAGTGAAACCAGGGAAGGAAGCCAACCAGCGCAAGCAGAACTGAGCGGGAGCCATGAGGAATGCACAGCAGCCACACTAAGCCTGGAAACAGGAGTCAGTCACTCCCTACCTCTTCCTGGTTCCACAGGCCAGCAAATGCTGGCTGTTGCGTAAGACTCACTTTGTCACTTGCAATCAAACGTGCTTGAATACAAAAACCTCTACTCACTCTGTTGGGGCTGATGTCCAGGGCATCACAGAGGGTGATGGCAAAGTGCTTGGACCTTTCAAAGCCTGCTTTCCCGACGCTGTGTGAGCCATCCAACAGAAACAGGACGTCCACTGCCGCCGAGCAGCGCATCACTGGGGAGAGCAGGACAGACAGCGACAATCAGCCTCTGTGCCATTTAGCAGCAATTCAGCAAGGCAGGAACCTTGCAGTGGGCCAGGCTGCAGCCCTCAGCGAGACACGGCAAAGGCAACACTACAGAGGAGGCAGCATCCCCCAGAGCAGGGAGCTCCCGCCCACAACGGACATGATGCTTGCAGACAGGCCCTCACACGGCTCTGACTGTGGGACAAGTCCCTCCACTAGACTGGAGCTCCGGGAGGTCTCCTGGGCTAGACTGTGAGACAGAGCAGCCTTGATGCCAGTCTCCAGAGGGCCATGCTCTAGCCCAGCCCCTTGCCAGCCCCAAGTCCCAGCCAGCACAGACTGTGCCTTTCCTATAGGGTAACAGGTGCTGTGAACACACGGGTGTGTAAATTGCTGTCAGTCTGACAACCACCCCCAAACCGATCACTACTTATTTTTAGTGACTTCACAAGTTTAATGGCGAGGTCATTTACACACCTCACAATTCACCCATATAAAGTATATCCTTCAATTAATTTTTAGTACTGCTTGAGTTTCCTTTTTCCAAAATGTTTGGGAACATAAGTGTTTTAGATTAAAGGTTTCCTCCTTTGGAAACCTGTGGAATATCAGCATATACATAATGAGATACCTTGGGGATGGGCCCCAACTCTCAAAATGAAACTTATGTTTCACAGACACGTGATAGGTAATTTTATCCAGTATGCTTAGTGCATCAGCACAATAGTCAGTTATGTGACACCCCGTGTGACATTTCCTCCATGTATGCCAGCACTTGAACATGCCCGACTTCAGATCGGTGATGCTGAGGCTGTGTGTTCACAAACACATTCTATCACTGCCCTAGTTTTAGAACATTCTCCCTTATCTCTAAGGAAATGTGGTATCTTCTAGCACCTGCCCTCTGCTACACCAAGCCAGATTTACTGTCTATTCCTATTGCACAGATGAGGAAACGCATTCACTTTCCCAAGGCCAAGGTCCCTGTAAACAGTAGGGCCAGAAACCAAACCCAGGTATTTAGCAACCTCCTCCCCCACTCCATATTCACCAGAGAATGGGAGAAGACAGGGTCAGAGAAACACGGCCCAGAAGGCAGCCTTGGAGCCCGAGAGGGAAGGCAGGGCAGGCAGCACCCAGGGAACACACTGCTGTGGCTGGGACACATGGAGGCAACACTGTCCAGAGTGGGAGCAGAAACAAGTCAGGAGGTGAGGGCAGCCGGGTAGACTGCAGTCAGGTGAGGAAGACTTGAGAGGAAGCCTAGAAACTCCATGATGAAGAATTCCACAATTTCTTTTTAAATCAAGGAGAATGACTTGGTGAGGCCCGCCCCTGGTGTAGAAGGAGGACTGGAGTAGGACGGAAGGACTGGAGGGGACAGTGCCTCCCTTGGGTGGTTGGGAGTATCCATCAAGGCTTACTTTTGCTGGCAGCTGAAATCTTCCCAAGGGTCTCCCTGTTCACGTGCACTTCCTGAAGAGGGTGGACTGGAAGCACTAGGCGAGAGAACATCAGAAGCTGTCATTACAAGGCAGAGTGAGGCAGTGGCCGCAAGTCCACATCACATGACCAAAATGAGAGGTAACAGGAGTGAACACGGATAGGGAGTCCAGTGACATCTGTACTTCAAAAACAATTACATGGAGGCATAAAGGAACACCTGAGTGCCCCACAACTATGGGGTCTCTTTGTATCTAAATTTGGGTATCTTGAGAAAAAATTTTAAAAATCACAGAGTCCAGCTGTGTGGTGCAGTGAGTGGCTCAAGTGTAGCAGGTTAAGCTACCACCTGCAACTCTAACATCTCATTCTAGAGCATCAATCCAAGCTCCAGCTGCTCCACTGCCCTGCTGACTGTGTCAACACACCTGGGAAGGCAGCAGAGGATGGCCCAAGTATGTGGGCCCCCGCAACCCATGTGGGAGATCTAGATGGGAAGGCTTCAGCCTTCCCAGCCCCAACTCTTTTAGCCCTTTGGGGGCACAGTTATAAAATGGGAGGTGAGTCAATCAATGAATCACTTTCACTTTGGTAAAACAATCTCTTTTGTAAAAATACACATGGAGGAGCTATGTCAGTGGTCCTTCATAGGTCAGTGGTCATTATGGGGTGTCCCCTGGGGATGGCCTCGTTGTACTACGCCTGGGTACATCTTTGGAAGTACCTGACCCCCAGCAGTTCCTACAGGTAAGGCATCCCTGCTACAAGCAATCACCATGCACATGAACATGGTAGAACATTGCTAGAACAGAGCCCCAGCAAAGCACAGGGGAAAATGTTCAAATGGCTGACAAAATGCTTTAATACTGAGACAACACTTTAAATGTGACATTGAAATGGTCAAACTCTAAGCTGAAAGGCAACTGGCGCAAGGTTAAATTGAGAAAGTACTTATCCAGTGGTGGCACCATAAGTTAATATAATGCTTCTGGGAAAAAGGAAAAAAAGAAAAAAGTTGGCCAAATGAATTAAGAGTCATGAAAAGGCCCATACCTTCGACCCTCTGGATTATTGCACCTAGGGCTTAAAAACATTTTTTTAAGAGAAGGGAAAATCTACATTGAGACTCTCCAACTTTGTTTGCATGCTGGAGAATGCTAGATTTAAAATATACAAAGAAAGTTGTATATTGATGTAGTTGTTCAATATGACTAATACATACAGGGCTAGGAAGTTTGGGAATAGGAAATTTGTGGATAAATTTTCCATTCTTTTTCTTTATTATTTTAAATGGAAAAGCAGAGGCAGACGGGGATCTCTCATCTATTGTTTCATTCCCCAAATGCCCATAATAGCCAGGCTGGGCCAGGACAAAGCCAGGAGCCAGGAGCCCAGAACCAATCCAGGTCTCCCCCATGGGCATCAGGGACCCAACTGCCTGTGCCATCACCTGCCACCTCCCAGGGTAGGCATGAGCAGGATCAGGAGTCAGACCTGGACCCAGGTACTCAGACCCACATATGGGCATCCCAGCTGGCATCTTGACCTCTACACCCAACAGCCACCCCTGGAGGCATATTTTGAGAAGCCAGCACCTTTGGCAACTGTGCACAAGGTATAACAAGCAACAGGAGTGACCACAGCGATGCTTTCCAGCAACCAATGTCCATTGACAAGGCACAAGGGAGACAAAGTCAGAGTGGCCAGGGCCCAGGGCAGGGGTAGACCAAGGTCATGAGCCAGAGTGGCTTGCTGAGGGTAAGGCACAAAGGAGAAGGGCTAGCAGGAAAAAGGAGGACTCACAGAGCACAGGGGAGTCAGGTTTGGGGAGATGATGCCAAGGTCGACTTGATCACCCAGCACCCCCAGGGCTGCTCTCCATTCACAAGATGCCAGTGCAAATGAAAGGAGTTTTTAGTTCCCCTGTATGAACAACAGCAGATGCCCTGCAAGCAAGACAGCCATTCACAATTGAAGGGTTTTTTTGCCTCGCTGCATGCTGGCGGTGTGGAGATTCTGCCACCACATGGGCCTGCTGCATCCCAACTGGGAGCACAGGCTGGCTGCTCTCAGCGGTCCTTCAGCCCAGTTCCCCTGGAAGTTCATGGAGACAGGAGTGTTTCTGTCCTCTGCAAAGCACAGCCCCTCTCTGCAGGCAACACACAGCACCAGGGTTTCCTGCAACAAGACCATGAACCACTGGCAAAGGGCTCAAGAGCTGAAGTTCCCTCAGGGACAGAACAAGAACATGTCATTGTATCTTCCCAGTCACTTCAGCTGCAAACAGGAGGCCATCTCCGTGACCAAAGGCCACTCACCATGACACTCCCTACTTACTGGGCTTCCCTGCACTGTGTGAGCAGCTGTTCCTGCCTGTGCCAAGGCTTCAAGGAGCCATTCCCAAGGCTCCCAGCGAGGTCAGCCCGGGACTCAGCAGGGCTACCCAGGACAGGGCCTCGGCAACATGTGACAGCTGCTGCTTCATCTCTGTAAGCCAGCAGCCTCCCATAAAGATCTACTTCCCACCTGCTGAGACTTAACCCTGGGGGCCACAGTTGCGCGGCTGAGCAGGCAGGTTTGAGAATCATGTATCTAGGCAAAAGCTTTCACTTTATAGATGAAATAGCCAATTTTGTGAAAGAACCCCTACACACATCTAGCCACAGGACCAGCTTAAGGGAGATCTGAGTATCTATCCTAGTTCTGCACCCAACACCTGGGTAACTATGGACAAATCACACAGCCTCCCTGGTCCAACCCAGGGGTTGATGGATCAAGTGCATGTGAGCATACCCTGATGTGCTCCATTAGGGCCACAGAAGGCAAAGTTCCATGATATGCTGGTGTAGAAAGTTGGCTGTGCCTGGGGCTCTGGCAACCTCATTCAGGGCCTGTCCCAATGACACATGTCACCAAGCCCTATCCCTTGGCCTTGTAGCTACTGCTTTACACTGCCCACTTATAGGACTTGTAGATGGCTCAGCAGCAGCAGCAAGACTGGACCAGCAAGTCCCTACTTGCAGCCTTTTTGATCTCCCCAGGCTCTAAAGGACAAAAAAGTGATGACAGCAGCCAACTCGGCAAACAGCAGCTCCCTCGCTCCCCAAAACACAGTCCAAGGAGGAATTGCAAGCAAGAAATCAGGGGAGATCAGAGGGCAAGGCCTTGGTTGTACAGAGGAGACTCCCGAGCCAGGCTGTGCAGCCCAGCCACCTGATGTGATGTTCCTGCTTTTACAGGCAGGACAGCCATTTGCAGACATAGCAACGCCTTCCTACAGGCTCAGATTTCGAAGTGGGACAAGGTGGGAAGTAAAAAGGCAGTCAGTTTTCCCCAAGATTCCTTTAGGAAACTACCTATTAAGCACTGATGGTGTACCTAGCTCCTGTGCCAGGCACTGAGACTACACAAGGGTGAACATAGGCTCTGCAGAGGCTCACTGCTCACACAGCCTACACATAGTGGAAAACATGTACTTTTCAAACACTGCCATCAAAATCAACTGCCAACACCTGCTTTAAATTCAGTCTGCTCTGCTGTACAGCAGAGGCCCTGGGAACCTGGCCCGATTTGATCGGGGTGGGGTTGTGGGGCTGGATGGGGGAGTCCAAAGGAACTGAGCCAGACAGTCAAGGATGGGTAGTTAACCAGCAAGTCAGTGCTGGGGTGACCATGGTAGATGGCCTCCATGATTCAGAACTTAGTGGAAGAGAGCAAGGGTACAGGCAGAACAGGGAGGGAATTTGAGACTAAAAGGCAAAAGATGTAGTGCAGCAGGCAGCAGACGGATGGACAGTCACAGGCTGGAATCAGTGAGGACTGCCGCAGAGCAACAAGACAGATGAATCCAAAGCCTTCAGAAATCATTGGGATTGGGGCCTGCATTGCAGTGTAATGAGTTTATACACTTCCTATAATGTTGGCATTCCACTTGGGAGCCTGTTCAAGCTGCTGCTCCACTTCTGATCCAGCTCCATGCTAATGTACCTGGGGAAAGCACCAAAGTATAGCCCAAGTCCCTGGGCTCCTACACCCCACATGACAGACCCAGATGAAACTACTGACTCCTGGCTCCAGCCTAGCCCCAGCCTAGCCACTGCAACCATTTGGGAAACATCCCTCTCTCCTCTCTGTGACTCTGCCTTTCAAATTTTCAAATTAAAAAACAAAACAAATCCTAAAACAAAAACCAGGGGAATCAGGAGGAAAACCAAACCTCAACACTTCACCATCTTTTTTGCCCCCTAAATCTTACCTCGGGAAAACAGGAAAACGCACAAGGCTCCCAGCAACAGGACACAGTGCATGTTGGCACAGCTTCAGGATCTGGAAAGATAGACAACAGCAGCAGTTAGCTCTGTGGATGCCCCTGGCCACACCACCTAACAGCAGGCCAGGGATTCAACCTTCTTCGGGCCACGGACAGCCCCTTCTCAACTACAGGACACAAAGTCCAAAAAGCCTTGACGTCTTCACTGTCACAACTTGCATTTTTACACAGTCACCGAATGCCTTCTCCAGATTTCCATCCCCGCCCCTAAACCCAGCCCTGCTCCTCCACAGGCTGGGGTGGGGTGCCAGGCCCACGGCCAGGAATTCCAGGTTTTAGCACTGCTTGGGCCCTGGTAAGCCCCTGAATTTCAGACAAAATGATTCCCAACCCAGGCTGTCCATTTCTTCGTGAGCAGCTAGAAACTGACAAGTCAAAGATTTTAACAACTGCACCAAACACCTACTCCCTAATTGATAGTTTTGAGGGGGTCATTAGGGACTGAAGTGAGAGCATTTGGTGAAAAATGATACCTATGGGACCGGAGTCACAGGCTGAGATCTCCTAGTTTTAGCTGTGAGACTCATGAAATCCACTACTATCATTTATCACAGACAGGATGTACAATTCAAGCAGCTGTAGGCTGAGCAGGTGAACATGCAGGAGTCCGGCCGAACGAAATGGATATATTTTTTTTATGTCCATTGTCATTTAGCAGGTAAAAATCTGCAAGTATTACAATTCTATTTTGCCCTTGGGGATGCAACATCTCCCTATATGGCTGTCCTTGGGTATGCTCAGGGGATTATTTATGGAGTCTCCCAGTGGATGCCACAATTGGAGGCTGCTCAATCCCATATATATATATAATGACAAAGCATTCACACATAACTGCATGTACCCTCCCGGGTTTATTTTCAAAATTCTTATGCAGGAAATAACGCTAGAGACAGAAAGCAAGCTTCCATCCGCTGGTTCATTTCCCAAATGTGCAAAATGACTGGGTACCAGTCTCCAGGAACTTCAGGTCTGCCAACTACGTGCAGCATTTCCTGGTGTCCGCCAACAGTCTGCGTAGAAAGGAAAGTCAGGAGCTGAAACTGGAAACTGAACCAAGACACTCAGGTGGGACGTGGGCATCGTAATCAGCACCTTAACTGCTGGGTCCACCTGCTCTCTCCTGTATGCTAGTCATCAGCTTGAGGTTTGTGACAGTATCTAACACACAGTGTAAATGCCATGTAAACAGCTATTCTACCATATTGCTTAGGGAACAGTGACAAGAGATTTATTTTTTCTCAATACCGTCCATCTGTCTGAGGTTGGCTGAATCCATGGATGGAGAACCCATAGGTGCAGAGGGTGACACTACACTAAACTGACCCACAGAGAAAAGACACAGAAGGTGGGGGTATTTGGTCCAGCAGGTAAGACACCAGCTGGGATAGCCACATTCCACATCACAGTGCCTGGGTTCCATATATGCCCCCTGCTTCCTGCTTGCAGCTTCCTGCTAATTCAGTCCACCAAAGGCAGCAGGTGGCGGCACGAGTAACCAGGTTCCTGACACCCACATGGGAGATCTGGATCCTGTTCCTGGTTCCCAGTTTGGACCTTAGTCTGGCTCCACCAGTCACAGACGTTTGGGGAGTGAACCAGCCAACTGTCCACCAACCTCTCTGTCCATCTCCATTTACTCCCACCCACAAGAATGAAAAGACTTGGCAGTCACAATTGATGCCACTAGTAGGTCCTAACAAAATTTTCTTTCCACCGGACAATGAAGAGACATCTATTCAGCACCTGATTTCAATGAACGAACTCAGGGCCAAGCTACGGAATGGAGAATACTGTAGGATTCCAGGAGTCCCCCAGTTTCCAAAGACCAGGGGGTGAGAGAAACAGTGAATCAACAGGTTAGCTATCATGGTATGCAACCCTAGGGGGCAACTCACTGCAACCTGTCGCATCACAATCTGAAACCTCTCAACAGCAGAAAAGAACCACTCTCCTGCACCCAGAGCATGGATGGCAAGGTAGGAGCCAAGACGGATGGAGTGTGAGGTCACCAGGAAGCATGGCTGGCAGGTCTGAAGTGACCATGTTCAGACTGGGAAGCAGCTATGGCCAGGCTCACTGGGAACTGTAGGAACTGGGAAGACACAGCAGAGCCAGGCTGCCTGCAGGGAACTGTGCTCACACCCTGGGCTTCCTTCATGGGGCCAGAACAGGGAGTAAAAGGATCATGGAAAAGAGTGAACAGAAGAGGTGGCTGAGATTCAGCAGGGCAGGAACCCCAGGTGGCCATACACAGGTGCCAATTCCATACACTCCCCTCTAACCTCAGAGCCGCCCACCCACCACGCTGATAGCTGTAAGGACAGGCACAGCCCACAGCTGTGCCTTCTGTGGTGGCAGACAGCCCACAACAACAATCTGGCAAGCCCAGGTTCTTACCTTTTCTGCCTTGTGACTCTCCTCCTTGCCCCTTACCTCCTGCCCCAGAGGAGCCTGGGCTCCTCCATGACAAACTGTGAAGGGTGCAGCAGATGCTGCAAGATTACATTCTGGTTTTTAAAAATTCCGCTGTGAGGCCAGTATAGTGGCAAAGTATGTTAAGCCACTGCCTGTAATGCAGGCATCCCATGTGAGTGTTGGTTTGAGTCCTGGCTGCTGCACTTTTGAGCCAACTTGCTGCTAACGTGCCTGGGAAGGCAGCAGCAGATGTCCAAGTGCTTAAACCCCCCAGTGCACATGTGGGAGACAGTGCAGTTCCTGGCTCCTAGCTTAGGCTTGGTCCTGCCCTGACCAGCATGGCCATTTGAGAGCGCGATTCAGAGGATGGAACACCTCTCTCTCCTCTTCCATCTCTAACTCAACCTTTCAAGGAAAACAATAAATGTTTAAATTGTTTTCAAAATCTTCTGCTTCCGTATGCATCACAGACCCTATGACGGTCAGACCTTACTCCTCTGTACACACAGCCCCTTGGATATTAAAGCATCCTGGCAGAACACCTCCCAGCTCAACCGTTGCCCAGGGGCTTCCAGCTTCAAATGATCACAAGGTCCAAGCCCCACCTACCTGTGTGCACAGCAGCCCCTCCGTACCGTGAGAGCCAGGCAGTCAGGAGCTCATTGCACACGACCAAAGAGAAGGTGGCAGGAAAGCGCATGGACCTGCCGAGGGGCTCAGGTGTTTCCTGCAAGCTCCCAGCTCTGGCGCCTGCCAGCTAAGCAGACTCCAGACTTTCCTTTCGCCCAAGGACATGTTTTCTTGCCTCTTAGTCACACACCAGAGTTCAGGGCAAGCCCTCACCTGCCACCTGGGATCTGGATGAGGGGCTGAGCAAGACAGAGGGAATGGGCTTCTCCATGCCACTGAGTCTGTAGGTCTAGGATGACTTTCTGGGGTCATCCTAGACCACAGACATTGCAGGAGACAGAAGCCTGTCACTCCAAAAATGAGGCTCATGCTGTCACCACCCTGGGGCTGCTGGGAGGGTGGAGCAGTCAGATGCCCAGAACACAAGGCTCCGCCTGTCCCACTCATCACGTTTGGTTATTTGCCTCTTCTTGCCCAGCTGGATACATTTCCAGAATCTTCTAAGTTCCCACTCATTAAAACAAAATTGATGCTGGTGACCTGCAAATGGAGGTAAGACTTCAGACATCTCCTTCCCAAGGGCTGGGGTTAGATGGCCCGGCTTGGTGACCTCGGCCTCAGCGCCTTCTTTTGGCCCCCAGTGCACTGCTACTGTCACACAGCTCACAAAGGCAGATGCTGGGAGGGACTGGGCCTTCCTCTCCAGGGTAGCCTTAGGGATCTGCCTGTCCCTGGGACACACCAGGTGAGGCACAGACTTGCTGGATAAACAAAGCAGTATAATAATGCCTACAGCCCATGAGCTACAAGGGTCCTTCTGGTGCATCTCAATGCTTTATCAGCATTCTCTTTTTGCCAAAAGAAAAGCAACAGGAGCAGTTAGAATGCCTGGCTCTCACCTGCTAATGCACACCGGGAAAGGCAACACTGTCAGTTTAAGTAATTGGATTCCTGCCACCCACCATATGGGAGACCTGGACTGATGTGCTGGTGTCCAGCCCTGGTCCAGCAATAGCTTAGCTCCAGCAGCCATCTGGGCAGTGAGCATGTATACTCTTCCCGTGTCCCTCTCAAAAAGAAGTAGCAAGTACTATTTCAATCCTTTGACCTACTGTTGGCTCTTCCCAACCAATCTTCTCAAATCCTCAATCCTTCACTTCTCATAACTTTCTTGCACTACTGATGCTACCCTCAAAATATTACCTTGATATTAACAAGGAGAAGTCCACAGTAACAATCAGTAGCAACCACCAGCCAGTCAGCAGCTTCTGAACGGCCACCACCATATACCTAGACCTTCCCTCCTGGTCCTCACAGCCAGCCAGTGAGGATGGACTATCCCCACCTGACAGAAGAGAAAATGGAGGCCTAGAGAAGTTAAGTGTTTTACCTCAGCCTGAAGGACTAATACCTACGTCAGGCTCCATTTTGTCCTCCCAGGGATCTGTTTGACCCATCACCTTCCAGAAGGTGGGGTAAAACTTCAGGTGCCATGGAAGGATGGCTAAGGGATATATGCATGCACAGGGCAGGAGGTGGGACCTTCTAGTGGAAGTCTGGGCTTGAGAGAAAAGGGGGTATGAGCTATGGGCTTGCAGACAAGCATGGGCATGCAGACAAGCACGCAAACATACTTAAACACCTGCCCTTCAGTGTTAGGGCTGGCAGACCCCATGCTGCAACACATAATGAGAAGACAGCCAGGACCCTTGGCATTCCTGTACAAAGCAGTCAGGGACAAGGTGCAAGGCAGACACACCAGGTCCAGCCTTTTCCATTACCAAATACCTGCTCACTGCCTTTCTTCCTTTCTGTTCCATTACTCATGCTAACAGGGCTCAGCAGCCAGCCTCACTCCTAGGCCCTGGTCCCACCTGGTACAGGCAGCATGTGGGACAGTGGGCTGCAGGAGCAAACACAGACCAGAACAAG